AGAAAGGAAAACTAAAAACGAAAGGAAAAAGAGAAAAGAAAAGTATGAATATGATCTGATCCAATTTGAATACTATAATAGGCGTAGGAAAGCTGTGAGAAGGATAATCGGAGACGGTAATAAAGGATGTGAAATTGATCTAAAAACATTACACGAAGGTTTTACCACCCGTTTCTCCAATCCAAATGAAAATATGAAAATGTCATATAACAATGTGGAAGACACAATAGTGAAAGACTTAGATTCGCATTATAATCAAAAAATTACTGTAGAAGAAGTCGTGAGAGCAATAAATGCAATAAAAATTGACACTTCTCCGGGACCTGACAATATATTAATGAGAATTGTAAAACTTAAGAAAGTAGCAAAGATCCTCTGTTCAATTTATAACACAATACACCTTACAAACCAGATACCTTCATCATTTCAAAGAGCACGAACTATTTTAATTGATAAAGGTGGAGACAAAAAAGAGGTTAATAACTGGAGACCAATCACAATATGTTCTGTTTTAAGGAGGATATTAGAAAAAATATTGGACAAAAGACTAAAAGAATATATCAAATTTAACCAGTTTCAAGGAGGTTTTTCTAATACCCCTGGTTCCCATCTTAATACAAGTATTCTAAATGAGGTATTGAGATCAGCAAAATCAAAGAAAACCGACTGCTGTATTATGTTTCTGGATATTGAGAAAGCGTACGACAATATCGGCCATAACCACTTATCCTCAGTCTTGCAGGAGCTACCTATTCCTAGGAAACTGATTGAAATAATAATTAAACTCCAAATAGGCAATGTTACAAAAGTTGAAACTCATAGAGGGAAAACAAAGGACATCAAAATACAAAGGGGTGTAATGCAGGGATCTCCATTGTCACCCACTTTGTATAACCTATGTATTGACCATATCCTCTCTGAAATGTCACAACATGCCGTAAGTGAGGAGCTAGGGTATAAGCTATGCAAGGACATGCCTTCTCTAAGTATTCTAGGATTCGCTGACGATACCATTTTAATTGGTAAGAATAGAGAAAGTGCTCTCGTATTATTCGATTCGATTTGTGACTTCTTCAGAGAAATTGGATTAACTATAAATATATCAAAAACTAAAATTATTAACATTGAAAAAGGTAGATTACAAGAGGAAAACTTCCAAATATGTTCAAAAGAAATAAAATCTATAACATTTAATGAAAAAATTAAATACTTAGGAGTAAATTTTTCTGAAAGCATAGTATTTGACTCTGAAAAAACAATTAGTTCATTGATAAACAAAATTGAAAAATTAACATGTTCTCCTTTTTTAAGGTCTGAACAAAAAATGTATGTATTGAATCATAATATTTGGCCATCTTTAATATATCCTTTTCAAACCGCACCAATTAAGAAAATTACAATGAAATTCTTTGACGATGTTGATAAAGTGATAAGATCAACAACAAAGGAAATCTTAGATCTTCCAAATGATATGCCAAATTCTATGTTTTATACAAGTACTAAAAACAAAGGGATTGGGTTATGTAAATCAATGTGGGAATCATCAATCCAACATATAAACATATGTCGCGTATTAAAACAAACGGGAAACCCCTACTTACTTAATATTCGTCAATTTGACGAAGAAATTAGGTTTTGTCTGGAAAAATTGAATTTAAGTATTGAATTTATTGAATCAAAACCCAAGATACTGCGAGAAACCTTACGAGACTTAGAGTATCAAAATTGGTGTAAACTTCCATACAAAGGGAATGGGGTGGTTCTTTTCAAAGAATGTAACAAGATCAATAAAAATTTGGCTAGAGGTTGTGGCCTCACAGAAGCTGAGTTCAAACAATACTTGAAAATGGTCGGAGACGTTATTCCTCTTAGAAGTCTTCATGGGAGATCCAGGGACGGGAACCAGTGCAGGCACTGTCCTGTATCTGAGAAATTTACTCTTGAAACTCTTGCCCACGTCCTTGGAAAGTGCCCATTTAGTAGTCTTCTACGAAATACCCGCCACCATACCATCAGAAAAATCATAGCTGATCAATTCAGAAAGAAAAGTTACGAGGTCTATGAAGAGGTCACGGCTATAGAAGAAGAGGGCTCTGTGAGGCGGAGTGACATCATTGTTATAGACAAGGAGAAAGATTTCGGTCTCATTATAGACCCAACAGTTCGTCTTGAGACAAATGAAAATCAGCCACAGGAAGTCCATGAAGAAAAAGTAAATATTTACAAGAAAACTATCCCATATTATTCAGAGAAATATAAAATATCAAAATTCGAAGTATATGGACTACTCATTGGATCAAGAGGAACAATTCCTCAACAAGTTGAGAAATTTTGGAAGAAATTCAAGTTGGAAAATCAAGTGCTATATTTAATATCTTTAACAGCCATAAAATTTTCTATTAATATTATAAGAAACCACCTATATAACAACTATCATAATTAGGTTTAATCAAACTTGCAAAATTTAATGTAATATTATTCTTTGTTCTACAGCAGACTACAATGTGTAGTAAGATTTCAATTTTTTTTTAAATAAATTTGAATTTATATATTACAACTGTGAATTTCTCAGAATTGATTGACAGTTCAGATGAACCTATGGCCACAGACTACGGAAACCTACAGTATTAATTGTATTAGTATACTGTATTTGTATTATTGTGTTACTAGCAGAGTACCCGTCCTTCGTACGGGGTTGACATATAAGTATAAATGCTTATTGCAGTTATGGAAGAGGACACGATTAAAAAAAAAAAAAAACTGGTCTCTTAATTTATACGGTATCCTATTGTGTAGCACACATCTACCATAGTCCTGATGTTCTTGCACCTAGACCATGGAAAAAGTAAAGTTCTCATTGTGTACCACAACTTTTTTTTGCTAGTTGGTTCAAATTAGCTGTGGTCATTAATGCAAACAAACAACATAATAGTGCTGCACCCTGTTTGGCAAGCCTTATAACTTTTTAATGCTGTTTAATATCATAGAACCAACTTGTACAGTTGAAACGGCTGACAAAATTCTTTATTTTTTTTTAATATGAATTCTCATAAGGTTAACTAGAGAAAGTCCAGAGCCAGAGCCACCGGGGCGGAGACTGAAAGAATTTTTGAGGTAAGAATATGTTAATCGGGGATGTCATCTATCATCATACCAAATTTCAACCTTGTCGGTTTAGTATTTTTCGCGTTTGCTTGTCACAAACATCCATCCATCCATCCATACATCCATGGTTTGCACTGTAATCAAAAAGCTATCACAATAGTTCCATACCGACAAATAGGAAAAATAGGAAAATATAAATAAATATGGAAAAAGGTTAATTTTCTAACATATTTTAGTGAAATTATATAATCAGGCAAATGAAAATTCAGTGTACAGATTTGCTGTGGCAGGGGGATTATATTACGGTTTACACAAAAATAAATCAAAACATAAACCTCATAACACTCAGGAAAAGGGCCTAGGTTGATAGGGCAATGATTATAGAATCTTAATTATTTCCTATATCCATGATGAATGATTTCTTTTAAAACAAATTATTCCCACTGTTTCACAGGAAACATTTTTAACCATTGTAGTAACATCATTATAGCTTAAAAAGTTGATAGTTTACATAATATTTAGCACATTTGACGGATAAAACTTTTTTGAATTCGTCATATTATAAGTGTATGAAAATTCATATATCTGTGTATCAATATCTACTTATCTCATTTCTGTTCAATGGAAGTTATACAATTTCAATGATACCGGTACTTAAATGGGAAGTCTTACAGCTGTTATAAAACTGTGCATACATTTTATCTTACGAGTAAATTTGCTACCAATTGATATAGTATGACAATTCTATTCTACTGCAGTACTTAGAATTCTACCACTACTCACATTGAACCAACCATATTTACTTTTGGGCTAGTGATTAATTTATTGTATAAATCATACAATATAGTGAATAGTGTAGGTAGTCATTTATTTATTTCGTTTCTATGACATAGCTCTATTTTGTAGAAATCAATTATGCAATCATAACAACAGAAATACTGCATCATTACATTTTACGGTGACATAGTATTTATTTTACATATAAAAAATTTAAGCTAATGCAATAATTAGTTCAATTAGAACCATTGAATATTGAATAATTTTAACATTAATCGAAGACGAAGCGGTTGACAACTTTCAAACGGTTGACTAGGACTAGTTGCCTTCAATAATTGCAATGCGAACTGTATGCACTGAGGTCGGCAAACAGTGTTCACAGTGTGCAGGCACTTTGGACGTCGTGGCACTTGGACGTCGTGCAACAGTCAAATATTGATTGGACGTCGTGGCACTTGGACGTCGTGCAACTGGCAGAGGCTTTGGACGTGGTGCAAATGATACGTCTTTACAATTATATAGTGCGCTGTTTCACGACGTCCAAGTGCCACGACGTCCAAAGCTTGTAGAAAGACTATATTTTTGGCAGTTACTGTACTTTTGGACGTCGTGGCACTTGGACGTCGTGCAACAACTCAAAAATTGTGTTTTGGACGTCGTGGCACTGGAAAAATATTATTGGACGTCGTGGCACTTGGACGTCGTGCAACACTCCCGATTTTAATTGGAGATTTATAGATAAGAGAAACGGGAAACCGTAAGACTTATTTCTCATTATGTTGCAAAGAGTTAACAATCATACACTTATGAATAAAGTTACAAAAATAATGCCAAATTAGTGTATTGATACTGTTAAACTCCTTTTTATCCCTGCCATATCGAAATCCCTATCAAAAAGGCGATATTTTAACCAACTATTTTGATTACTTTATAAAATGATACCGATTTCCAAGGATTTCCCTTACTTTCTTATTAGCACACATAATTTTTCCGTTTTCCTATCAGAAATAGTTTGGGACCAGAGTTGAGAACCGTTATATCATGAAACAAAAGTACTTGGAAACTTGATGTTTGGATTGTCACTATAATGTAATGACTTCACTGTGTTGTATGTCCAGTGCAAAGCAGAAATGGTCCCTGCTCTATTCTCAGACTCTTGGCTGTACCATGATGGCTGCGGATATTACTACAACACCAAGAATATCAAAAATGGCCTCAGGTTTGTAGTTAAAGTTTTGTGAATCTATAATAATGAACTGTATATGTAAATTGTTGTCACACGGTAGAACTGACCACTCCTTCACACGAACGTACAAGAAACTGAATCTAGAAAAAGGGTGAGTGCAAGAAATAATTAAGACTGTTCCTAGAAAGATATGTGTGAGGTACAGTGGCGGTGAATACTGCCGACACTTATTAAATTCAAGTTTAACTAAAATTATTACAAACTTTTAGACCAGCATGTGAGTCCTGCCGGGTTAGCAGAAAATATTTGAAATAATAGTAGTGGTCATCAGAATAAAAGGGAGTAATAACTTTGTGTTAAAATGACTCTCTGAAATGTACTGTACAGATAAATAATAGTATCTCACCTAATACTTAAAGCTAGCAAACTTTCCTATTATTGCAAATTAACAGTGTTTTCCATCTCATTCTGTTGCAGATATATGCAGTGTGTGATCCCCAAGTGTGGCGTGCAGGCCATGGTCCATGTAGAAGGTGGACCAGTCAAAACCCAGAAGCCCCACAGTCACGGACCGCAGCCCCCGCAACATAGCAAGGAACTGTGGTTCCTCCATAGGATCAAGGTCCAAGCTCAGAAGAACCCTGATCTGCCTGTCCTCAAGATTTATAAAGAGGTTGCTGAAAAGTAGGTTGAAAAAAGTTTGTCTAATTCAAAAACATTTTTGATCTTAAAATCTTTTCTCCTCAACATAGTGCAGTGTGTTCTATTACAAACACCCTGACTGTGACACATAAAACATAGATTTTTTATTGTGGTACAGTAGAGTCCCGCAAACTGGTGTAATGTGGACTGGAAGGGTGCAGAGTTTGTGAAATGCCGGGTTATTAGGAACTAGGGTTAAAAAGTTAAAAATAAGAAAAATACAGTTTTTAAGCTTATGAACTGCCTTTTTATTTATATATACATTACAAGTCAGTATTAAGTCATCAGATATAGTACAACAAATCCTTTGTACCAGTTGCAAATAATTTGACTCTAAGCTGGCTTGAGTCCATGATTAACTCGGACTCAAAAAATCATTAATTTTCTGAGCCAGGTGATGCCCGAGTTATCCAGACAGCCGGGTTATCGAGTGCCGAGTTTGCGGGACTCTACTGTATTCAATCTGATAGCCCCTAGACTAGGTGCCGTATGTATGAGTTTATAGGCTTACCTTTGTCAGTAGTCCAAAATTGTGTTCAAGCAGAGAAACCCCAACGAGCATTGTTGAACGACGCAGCTGACGGTAGAGTTGGTAGTTCTCGTGTTGGCAACCACACAGCGCCACAACATACAGAGCAAGCGATAACATTCCAGCCACATCCAGCCATTATCGTTGCGTTGTGTTTCGTTGCAATGCAACATCTTCAGAACTTGCAACACGTTGACAACTTCAAAATTTATGTTATAATTATATGTAATCATTACTGTATGTGTAAATTTTGATGTTTTTGATGTGTTGCGAGTTCTGACGATGTTGCAATGCAATGAAACATGACAGCTTTGAACAATAATTGAAGTTAGACACAATTTTGGACTACTGATGGAGGTTAGCCTATAAAGTTTTTATTGTGACCGAGTTTAACTGTCCACTTACAAAGACTTTTTTTCTGCCTTATGTTAGGTTTCCAGAAGCAGCAGCCGTGGTCTCACAACCAGAAGTCATGCAACTGATGAACAAGTTCCTGATCACTATTTTGAGGGTACGTTACTATCGTAGATCGTAGATTATTATGCAACTGTGATCGGATCTGCAGAGGAAAAAGAATTGCTTTCTTGATATAAGTGCAAACGGTGTATTGAGTAAAAAATCTATACAGTACTGTAGTTATTAAAACTGTATACAGATTTTTTTGGTCCCACCTACACATCATAAGACTCTAATTCTAGCCGGGAACCGTTTTACAAACTGCTTCAGACTAGTCCTTAAGGGTTTCAGCATTATCACATGGATAAAATCCATTGTTCATTGGCGCGATTTGAACCCTGGACCTCGGGCACCGAAGCCCCACGCTCTACCACTAGACCACCTAACTCCCTATTTCACAGAATAAAAATGTATTTAAGTAATGAAATATTAAAAATGTGAACAAACTTTTGTTAGATAGTGACTTAAAAAGCGACTGTGACTTGGATAGAAAACTAAGAATAGGATGCAGATTGTGTTGTGAGTGTAGGTTGGTGGTAAGATAACAGAGTGAGAATAACACCCTTATACAATATAAATCACATTTTTGTACTTGTTTAATATTGTTCAACATTAAAATGCTAACTGTCTGAGGCTATTGATAGACTACAGAACATTCACACTGTTGGCTAGCTTTCAAATTGTTTATCTTGTAAATCGTTCTTGGAGTAGGTAGTGTTGGAGGTTTTCTGAGGAATCGTCACTTAGAAAGAAAAAAACTGACTTTAAAATATGTGAATAAATAGGACATCCGAAAAATAAAATTTAAGTGTCTCAATGTCAAAACCTGTTGCTTGAAGGAAAGATGTAGTGTAGACTTTAGTTCCAGTTATGTCAACCATAGCTGCTTGTGCATATAATACCTCAAAAACATGTTAGATCCCTGTGTCTGTATGGTAATACAATTGTGTTGTCTGTTCTTACTTAAGATTTTTCTGATTGATAATTAATTTTCTTTGTTTCAGACAAATCCTAATGATGATGACAAAGGATCTTACAGCGTAAGTACAGTCATTGACTATATACCACAACTAGACTTCCCGAGTCCATAGTAGCAGTTGAAGCCAGGAAATCTTGCTGCGTGAGGCTATGTTTTTAAGCTGAGCTGCGTTATTGAGACGGCGAGCTAAACAATGTCCATTACCAACTTCAAACTCGGCAAACATAAAATATTCTCATATAAAATAAACATAAAATATTTTACATACTGTTAGGCATTTTCATAAATGAAATAATAACTTTGTTTACAAATATTGTGTTTGAGGTTAAGGATGTAACATAGAGCACAATGACCTAGGATTTTTCGTGAGGATAGGTTATAATTTTATATAAATAAACATGAAACAATGCTTTTGTATAAGAACAGAGTAACTATTAATTCGTGAAGATGATTATGTGAAGATGTATGTAAATGGAGATTATTTTTTGTACCCTTAATTTTGGGGTTTGCAATGACATTGTTAATCCCTCCGCCGCAATAATGCAACTCTGCCTCAAAAATCCTAACTTCAATTTTGTAAGTGAATTTGTTAAGTAGGCCTACTCAATTATTTTAGCTGTCACTTAAAGCCCTCTGTGTCCAAAAGTGCCACTTTACTTAATAGCTGCAAAAAACAACTACTTTTTGCGTGTCCAGTATTTTGCCAACATCATGTGTTATGTTATCATTGTAGTTGCCACGCACGCCTGTGGAAGTGCTACCTACTTCATCAGGAGATTTCTTGTATCACGATGGACGAGGTTTCTTCTACACCCTGTTTGATACCTCGGGAAGGAAAAGTGCTCTGAAGTAAGTTGATATATGATGTCCATGTTGCTATGCTTTAGATTATTCATACCTCATAATTATAGCTTCATTTTGACATAGGTTTTATTCTCACTGCCAAGTTTATAACATCAGACAGGAAAAATGCTACATGAGGTAAGTTGATATACGATGTCCATGAGTCTAATAAATCATGTTGCTATGCTTTAAATTAAATTATTCATACCTCATGATTATAGCTTCATTTTGACATAAGTTTTATTCTCAATGCCAAATTTTTATATTATTAATCAGTGCAGTAGAACTGTTATCATCCAATATCAATTGGGACTGCACTACAAACTGGGACTGTACACGCTAGAGAGCATTTTTAGAAGTATTCTACAGGAAATAGCGCCGAGTTGAACCGAGCTTTTACAAGGAGGACCACCTAATGTATCTGCAAAGAAATCACGTTAAAAAAATACACGCTTTTCCCGTGATTGTGGAAAATGATGATGGCTACAAGACCGTGGGAGATTTTCAAGATTTTTCCACAATCACGTAAAACGACTATGAACTTTGTGTGTTCACACAATCGGGACTGGTTCAGAATTTTGCCACCTCTGTATTCTGTAATAATGATTCTAATTACTGTTACAGTTAGGTTTTAAAATTCTTTCTGTAAGCAAATAGTTGGAAATTTGGATAGTTAGAGTTTTGATGGTTAAAGTTCTAACTTATCTACTTACACATTAAAGCATTACCACCCAGAACTCAAAAATATCAAAATAATAACTAATCAAATTGGTCTAGGAATAAATAACAAGTCCATAATGCATTGTTTAGCAATTTAAATAATGACAGAATAAGTGAAGGAAATAAACTAAGAGAGCTGGTATAGATGTCAGGAAACTTTTGAACGTTTCAAAACTAGTTTAAACATTGACTTGGCTATACTTGTGATTGATTTTTTTGCAAATATTGTGTTGCAGTGAATGATGCTTGTAAAAAGTGTATTGGAGGTCTGTGACGTTACATAATAATTATGATGTGCAACAACATCAAATAAAAATTTACAGGATTAGCTTAAAACATTTCAAAAAAGGATTTCAACTATATTTCTACAATGATGTTTCAGCAGGCTTCTGAAGTGCAGCTACCACACAACGTGTCCAGCCAGTGCTACCCTGGTGGACGGATATGTGGAGATGAACAAAAACAGCTATCACAACCACAAGCCTAACACCATACACAGGGACATTTGTCTCTTCAGTCAAGCTCTCAAGAAACGCACCAGAGACGAAGAGACGCCTCTGTCTGTCATTTACAGGGAGGAAGCGCAAAGGTAAGACCCGAGAAATATGTTACAAGTGACTATAATATTCAGAAATTTTACTATAAATTATTATCAAATTACTTCTAGTCAGGAAAGAAAATTATAAATAATCGTTTGAAAGCCTTCAGTTAAAATAAATATTTAAAAGGGGTTTCTGCTATTAGGCAATCCAAAAAGTTTTTAGATTCAGCTCCTAGAACCAGAAAGTACAAAAATACGTCAAATAACACTTTAAATAAATATATTTAGGCTTCTACTGTTTACTCACAAGACGGTAAATACATATAAAAGGTGGTAAGTGGTGATTGATTTCAATTGTACGCTCCAATCATCATCAGACCCAATAGGCAAAATTCATCTTCATTCATTCATTTATTCATCATCATCAGACCCAATAGGCGAGATGATGATTGGAGTGTCCAATCGAAATCCATCACCACTTATTACCTTTTATGTATTTACCGTCTTGCTAGTAAACAGTATAAGTGTAAATATATTTATTACAAGTGTTATTTGACATATTTTTGTACTTTCAGGTTATTTAAAAACACAATCAAGAAGTAATATAAGGGCATTCTGTATTTATCTTCATATGGTGACCGTCAGGGGTAATATGTGTACAAATAAATATTCAAACACAACACAACACATTGACAGTTGACTACTGACCAGTTAATGACGTCACCACCCTAGCAAAGTTTGAATCAAGTCTCAAGTTTCTGTAAAAATAAAAATAACATCCCTGTGGTTCCTAATGGGCAGATGTGTGAATCTGTAACTATTGTAGTTGTATCTGCAGTTATAGATTGCCCAATAGGCATTGAAACCGTTTTTATTATTATTCAACAATCTGGGGGCTTACATCTACCTTGAAGTATTTTAAACAAATTAATTTTTCAAGTTTATAGTGACAATATTTGTATGATTCTGTCTAGGTATCCAAAAGCAGCTGCCGTGTTACAGGAAGATCGACTCAAATCAAAGCTTAGTAGCATTCGCAAATATGTCAGAAGGGTAAGATTTGATATATTGCCATTGGATGTATTGCTAGTCGATGGTCACATTGGTTTGAGTAGAGAAGAGTTGGATATGGTTGAAAAAAACCCTTTGAGACTTAGTTTGGTATTGACTGCTTCATCGTAAAGGAGCTCTACCTAGTGATGGGTCAATTCCAGAAATTTTCTATCCCGATTCCAATTCTTTTAAATCGATTCTAAATTCTGATTCCACCGATTCCATTATGTTAAAAATAGATTATACATCTTCTGCGATCACGCTAAAATATTAAATATCCCTCCTGGTCATGTAGACATTATCATTTGTCTTCAACAATCAGGGCAAATTTCTGGTCATTGCCGGTGGCGCAGACATCATTAATGTCTCCTGTGGTCCAGAAGATGTCAATAAAGTCTTCCTTGTCCGGGGCAAAATCATGAAATTCTCCACCGTTGTGTAGACATTATCGTCGTCTTCTGCGATTGTGGCAAAACTCTGATAATCTGTTGCGCCCGTGTAGGCATCATCATCGTCTCCCGCGGTCACGGAAACATCATCGTTGTCTTGCACGATCAAGGCAATATCAGTATTTTTCCGACTTCCGTTCCGCGACTTCCGCTTACGTGTCAATCGGTATCAGAATTGACTTTGAGCGGTCTATTCTCGATTCCTATTACAATGCCTAGAATCGGTGGAATCAAGAACCGCTTTTGGAATCAATCCATCCCAGTTATCTTTAAAATTAACTTTGCGGTTCAATTTTTCATCCAGTATGTAAGAATTGAAACCATTCATTTACTGATCTTTGTGTATATATGTAGTGTCTGGGCTCTACCATTTTTGTCTCCAATCCTTTTAACCAAAGATTTACAATAAAATTTTATTAAAACTATTTTCTTTTTTATGAAAACAGTACTTTAAAAAAATTATTAAATAGGCAATTGATAATTTACTACTGAAACAAATGCTATATTGCTTTAACAAGTATTTATCCTTTTGTCATTTAATCCTTAGGCTAACTATTTTATTCTTGTATAGTTATACCTAAAAGAACATTTTGTTAACTGGTTAAAGAAGTATTCACATTGTGTTGATAAGCTACAAAAACCACCCATTTGACTTTGCATCTTAAAGAAAAAATATGTAATATTGGAGATAGTATAACAAATTTCTTACCACCTTTTCAACTAAAACTGTTATAATTTGTAACGCTTTTGTAATAATTAACAAAAAGTAATTTTTTCTTATGTTTGCAGGAAATAAACGTAGGAGCCGAGGATGATGACGTTGATGAAATTCAAAACAGTGCAAATCAGGTAAATATGCTACATGGTAATTTTCTGGTTTTACCAGTAGTTTACTTCCATTTATGACATGCTACCACTACAGTCGGGACCATGTAAGTTTGCAGTTGGTGGCAGCCAATCTCAAGACAAGGCTAGTGCGACGTTGCCACATCGCCTGATGACAACAGTTATCAAAATATACTAAGCAATATTTTCAAATCAGCTGGTATTATTAGATTTGGCAACACCGCACAGTTCTCATTGGTTCATTCAAAACTATATGGTAAATAGGCTCCTCCCTCAACTGCAAACTTACGTGGTCCCGACTGTAGGTAGGTAGTCATACTGCCACAGCCATATTTGGAGTAGTTGGACTACCTAGTCCAAATTTGGCTTTGACAGTAAATGAAATTTTCAATTTTGTTCCAGAAGAGTTCTACCAGTGTAAAGTCTGAGATAATTCCTGGAAAGACCAAAGATGTATACCACGATGGCAAGGGTTATTATTATTACGAGACCTTTACTGAAGACCAAATAAGGTAATTTTGTTATTTTTTTACATTGTAGTGATGTGGTGAAGCCAAATATTATATTCAACAAATATCAGAAAATGATTTGTGTTTTAGATTTGATTGGCTAAATTTTAGAATTGAATCTCAACTCCCATATTTTGGGTAAATCCACGCTATTTGCATTTATTCTAGGAAGGAATTGTGGTGGAACCAGAATAGGGATGTTCAAGTCTTCAAACAAGGAGTATTTTTGTAGATCTGTATTTCTGTTTTTAGGTGTTCTGTTTTTTTTTTTTTTGGATAGTCACTAAAGGTGAACAAGTCAGACCAAAATTTCCATTACTTTGGGACTACCGGGTTTCTACCAGTCACTAAAGTCACTGATTTTACTAGGGGATTATGGAAGTCACTGAAAAGTAATGAATTTTCATTTTAAGATCCCCAAAGTCACAGTCAAAATTGGGCTAACTAAAATAAAACCTGTCTTTGTTTGCACCTTGCTGTAGGCAATGATTAAATTCATAATGTAGAATCAGAGAGTGAACATATTTTGTGTGGCAGCCAGCACAAAATTGTTATGGCACAAAATATTGCATGCTTGACTATCTCATGTTCAAGTCACTGAAAAGTATTGTCTTATCGATACAAAAGATTTTGCGTTTAAACGTCATCCTAAAAGTCACTGAAATTTGGTTATGATCAAATGGTATACACCCTGGAATAGCCCTACTATAATTTAGTCAAATTTTCTATTTACCACATCTTTGTCGGACAAACTTTAACGATAGATTATTATTCTGAATTTACTCCAACAGATACCTGATGTGCTGTGAGCCCCACTGTCTGGCCCAGGCCAAGACGGGTCTAGTTGCGGGGGCTCCTATAGTGGGGGCCTCGTTGCATTGTCATCCCCCCGACCTCCGCCGCAGACAATGTCTCCTGCTTGTGCACAACTTCAGACAAAAAGCGAACCTTAAAAATCTCAAACCTGAGATTATCTACGCGGGTGAAACTGCCAAGTAGGTTAACAAAAATATTTGGTATGATTTATGATTAATGTAATTTCTTTATGGAAGTCAGTTTTTAAATCTAAGTAGCCTTTAATTTTTGCAAAATTGTAAGCTTGCATGATTTAAGGCTTAATTGGCGTATAAGTTATTATTTTCATGAACAATGTTATAGTCTTAACAATTTCAATTGAACAAATAAATTCTTTTAAAAATTGTTGCGCAAAAAAGTTTGTACGGTACTTGTTTGTTACTACTATGCTTTTTAACTTCTGAATCAGAAACATTTTTGTTCAAAATGTATGTAAAAGCATTTTATTATATACATCTTATTTTTTAGCAAAGTTTCTAAGAATGATTGTATATTATCCTTATTTACAAACTTTGCTTTCTGAAAAAGTACTTTTCTACACTGCTCTTGCAGGTTCTAGCTAAAACCATACATGAAAATAAGATTAATTTTTTATTTTACTTATTTTTCAGAGAACCGATAGTAGCAGCTCAAATACCCAAAATTTACCTTTATTCAGTGATCAAAAGTGTGCGTTTCCCTGAAATAAAGGTGAGTTTCTCAGGACGGTTTGATGTTTACTAAGTAAAAAATTCAAAGATAAATTCAGAAAACCCATTTTTCCCAGACAAATTGCTGTCATAAATTCAAAGTAGAGATGCTATAGACAAACAGGCTTGCAAAATACAAGCATAAAGTTATAAATTAGTTTTGTTTTAAGGAATTTAAAACTATATGGCTTAACATATGATCAAAATAATAATTATTTATTATTTACATTGCTGATCAATCCTCGGTTAATTTCATACTTTGTAAAGTTTTTTTTTAATTTTTCAGGATCAAGACACACAAACTGCTCAGGATAGCAATGAGGTAAGCCATCATACTAGGGTGTAAATAGTATAGTGTATACGGGTGATGTGTCCAAACCATTAAAACTTTAGAAAAGTTTAACTGAGAAGATTAGACTCCCGTTAAATATATACTCTAATTTTCTCAGATAAACTTGCTGAACTCTTCCTTAAAAAAAAATACGGAAATTGCATTTTGATAATAGCTATTTGTGTTACCAGTGTGCGATGTGGCACTTTGCTGCACATGAAAGAAATGTTGACGAACAAGCCTTAGACGTATGTGGAAAGTTTCTCGAGTGCAGCAAAGGCACTTTGCACTATCGTTACGCATTATTTTTCCTACAGTTACTATAAACAGGGTGTCCACATTCTGGAAAGTCAGGGATAGTCATGGAAAGTCATGGAAAAAAAATTTGGTCATTGAAAGTCAGGGAAATAGGCAAGAAGTCATGGAAAGTCATGGAAATTTCCAATTATGGATGGATTTGAGGGGACCATTCAATGCTCTAGTCAGCTGTAACCCGGACTGTTGTAGCATTTTTCAGGATTTTTCACAAATGTTCGACAATTCAATTTATTACAGTTGTATTATTTTATGAGTTTTCGGTTTGTTTTAGTTCATTGTTGTACCTATTGTACTCCATTGTTATCTGTTATTACATATTCCAGTATTTTCTGCAAAATAACATGTCCAGGCAGTTATATTTGTGTGTGTATGTTATATTATAATTTGCGTGTAAAGTTCGTGAGTCATGGAAATCAATGGTAAATGGTCATGGATAGTCATGGAAAGTCATGGAAATTAATGAAAAATTTTTTGTGGACACCCTGATAAAGCATATAAATAAATAATTAGTCTTTCAAACACATTTTAGTTTAAGTTAAATCCGAACAAAATGGGAAACGCTTCACCAGCTGATTTTAGTCATAGTATCCTTAAGTGTTGCCAACGTATTTTCAAGTGTACATGTATTAGGTGTCTAATAAAAGCACTCTGTTTAGTGTTGTTCGGTATGAATTATGAAGTGCAAAAAAAATGAGTGCACCAAAAGAAAATGAGTGTGGCAAAAGTAAGTAAATGCAGCAATTAGCTACTTTGCATGCTGTAATCAGTGCAACGAAGCCCACTTTGTCAGGTAACTGTTGGAAAAAGTTATTGGTGCACATTGTATTATTTTGTACTTCTAAAGTAGTGTTCGATAACGTGTGGTTCTTTATAGTGACGATCACTGATCTTTTGCAGGATGATGAGTTGTGGTCATTCGCCGAGCCGTGTGAGAGACTACCAAGTGAACATGGCTGGCTGTACTTTGACGGCAAAGGCTATCTGTACTACTCACACGACACTGACAGCACAGGTCACAGGTACATTCTATCAATATGTTTTGATGTATCGATCATTTTAAAGCAGGGTTTCCTTAGCTGCTGAATTTGGGTACCAAATACATCTGCATTTTACGTTTTCCAGGTTTCCAAATTAGGTATTATTAATAGAAATCATGAGCAATACAACAGTCACTTGAAATTCATCTCCCATATGTATTTGTTCCCATATGCTGCTAGATATGGGGTTTCTTTAAAAATTCCATTATACAACTTTACTGGGTAGATAATTTATAGAGGTAATATTTCTTCCTAAAATGTATCAAAAGTTGTTTGTTTGTATCAAATGTTGTTTGGAAGTTATATGATATTTATAAATTTAAAGTGCACCAAAATACGTTTGACATGTCGTGATTATTTTCATTTGTGTAAAATGTACTCTGGTGGTGAAGGTTTTATGGTGATTGTTGTTGTAGGAGACAGCTGAAGTGCTGTGAGGAGGACTGTGACTCGACGGCTACACTTGATGACAAGCAGTGGCTGTCCCGAGCCCCGGGGAGCGTGTTACACAACCATCTGCCTGACCGTCGCCGTCGCTCCATGCTCATGCTTCTCCACAGAGTAGCGGTGAGAGCTCAGACGGAGCAATCCAGTGTGAGAGACATCTTCAACAGCGAGGCTCACAGGTCAGTCGCGTTAGGGTCTCCGGTAAAATCGGTTAGCTTTGGAATGTGCTTTGCAGGATCATGACGTGCTGCGTGGTGCACAAGACTCCTTCACAGTACCTTCTTAAGGGGCTCTCTTTCCGAGAGGAGGTCTCTCAGCGCAGTGCTATGGAAGTCCCTAGCTTCACTTTTCAAGAGTGAGGCTTGGGTTTGGAAGGAGAAGCTTCTTGTACTTCGGGCCAAAGTTGGAAAACGACCTCCTCTCTGGCCTAAAAAATATGGCTTGTCATCCTTTAGAGTGAACATAAAAGGATTGTACGCTGATAGTTGATTTGTTTCTGTTTTGTTATTGTGCTGTTTATTTGTCTGTTGGTTTAGTTATTGTTATTGATGAAGGTTTTCAATTATCAATTATTATTTAAGATGGGGACACCACTAGGTGCGTATTTTAACCCAAATATGAGTGAAGTATGAGTGTAGGATGAGTGGCACGATCTTGTAGTCTTGTTATTGACTAAGGCCGACATATTCCTTAGATACAGCTGTTAATTAATAGCCCAAACAGCTAACGGCAACTAAGGGACCTACAGTTTATAGTGGAATCCAAACCACATTCTTAATGAATTGGTCTAATTATCAGGATAGTACTGCGGATAGTCGTAGTACTCACTGGTGTGGACGTTAATCCACACCAGGGAGTATCGCATCCACAGTGCATCTCTATAAATATTCAAAATTTGTGACCTCCTAGTAGCTGGATTACATATTATTTATTTAAAGTATATTTATTTTAAGAATGTCAAACTAACAATCTGTTTGAATGTATTCTGCCATCGTTAACATCTTCACGAATACATCAGTGTCCCCTACTTTTGGAGTGAGAATTTGAACATCTTCTGCAGTAGTAGGGACTACATGTGCTGCGATCAGGTGAAATCGTAATCTTTTGTCTGTAATCTTAGCCGGATGCTTTTGGCAATCGTTCAGCTCTAAAATCTCTAAACCTCTCGTAAAACTGGCCCGAGCTAGGCCTTAAAATTTTTGTCCGACTGAATTAGTCCCTCTTAATGTCCGAAGCAAGGTTAATAGGGGGATTTACTATATGTACTTCAGTTTTTGTTTAATGAAGACGCTAAATACTTTTATTATTAATTTAGATAAGTTAATACTGTCTTAAAAGAATTTTCCAAACTTTTCATCAACTTGTTAATTTTATTACATTGAATTCCATATTTTGTTTTTAGAGATCCAAGAAGTGCAGAACTAATTCCAAGAAATAAACTTAACGAGACTCTCCAGGTTTTGACTGTCAGAAAATATTTCAAGGTATGATTACTTTTATTTCAATCGTCACAGTTTTTAATTTACATACAAATTTATAAGCCACAAAATATGTTATTAATGTTTGTGTATTTGCTAAAACGTTTTTTGTAAAATAGTCTGATAAGATTTCAAAGATCTATGAAATCTTATAGTTAGAAATTTATTTTTAGTTTTAACACTATGTCAAGATTCTAAATTAACATTTTACTATACACTATATTCCATGTACTTGAGATAAAAATATGTATACCGTTTTGGCTTAAAATAATTTTTATAAAGTTTATAAATTTTCCCTGTTGTAAGTTACTATTTTCAAAAATCATTAAATTTACTACTTCAATCTTATATATGCGTGTTGATCTGGAATGTGACTGAATTTATCATATAGTTACTGAAATGTTTCCAATCTTTTTCAGGACTTGGAAGAGGAAGAACTTGATCAGAAGGTAAAAATCTTTGATTTAATACGAACACACTCTTTGTGAAGGCTCAACAAGCAAAGCTAGAGCTCAACACAATCTATTAAATAATTCTTCATCAATTTGTAAGGGAGGCAACCTTTTTATGCTGAGGAATAGACACAGTGCAATATATATTTTTTTTCATTCATGCCTTTGTAGTGAAAAAAAAATAAAATACACAATTTTATCAGTTGGGGTTTTCAATAGGTGTTGTTTTACAAACTTTTTTACTAAACTAATAATTTAGATATTTATTGAGTGTCTTGAATATTTTGATATATTAATACCAGTAATTTTTAGTCAAACATTATATCTAGATGCTGAAGATAATACTAAAAAGGACAGATTTAAAAATTAGATATTGATATCTAATATTAACAATTTTTATCAAATTTTATCAAAACTAACAAAATGTTACTTATTATGTTTTAGGAAGAGACTAGCGAGAAAAAATTCATGTTTGATGGGGTAAGTGTAATAAAGTTTAATATCATCATTGAGTATACAAGTATAAGAGTTGTCACATAATGTGAGTTGTTACCGATTTTGGCGACGTAGTTCGAGCCGCTGAAGCTTGGGTCGGTAGTCTGTCAGTAGTGCAGTGCGCCTCTGAAGAACATTTAATCATTTAGTATTAAAAGTTTATCATAAAACAACAAAACTGGAAACAAACAAATTTCTTTAACAAAAAATGACATTTTACAACCTACAATGAAAGCAATAATAAAAAAACAACCAATCTGCCTTACCATCAAGCCCAAGAGGAGTAGTTAGGGCGGCTGACACTTCTCTGCAACAGCCCTGGGTTCAGGTAACGATAACCTCCATTGAGTGGCTACTCTAGTAAGTACTCAATGTTATTCATGTTACGACCTTTTCAAAATTTTATAGGCCCAGATACTTGGACAATGCGTTGTTTTATGATACACACCCAAAGCCTTATTAAAATTTAAGATAAGTTGTGTCAATTATTTGTGGTGGTTATTTTGTAATAGGAGAACTAAATCTATACCTGAGGAACCTGAAATTCTGGAAACTATTTTAGTTATTGCTATTAATGATTGGAGGTACAGTGTTAGCAAAACAGGAGTTTCGATGGAGACCAGGTCAAGTCCCTTCAAACGCACGCACCCCCACAGGTCTCCATCGGCACTCCCGTTTTGATAACACTATAGTTGCTGTGTATGTTGCTTTGGTGTTGAAGGTCTCGGAGTGTATATGTGAAGAACTAACCTCAGCCAGTTCAAACCAACAGATCTACCATGACAACAAAGGTTATTACTTCATCAAACTGAGCACACCTTTAGACAGGCGGTAAGCTATTCTTAGTGTCAGTTGAATTTTATTTTCTTTCAATGAAATAAAAGTTTTTGTACTGTATAATATTTTAACTAGGAGTGAGTAAGTAGTGAATTTATGAGTCAAGTTTGCAAAAATATTTAAAAACTTTGAGATTTTTTGAGCTGAGAATTTGGTATAGAAAGTGACATGTATGGTTAGTTTAAAATAAAAAAATATTGAGCTTCCCAAAACAATAAATTGGGTTATATGTGCCATATATAAACAAATTGCAAATAAAGCTGACAGTTTACGTTAGTTTCGTATAGGTACAAATAATTTGGTAAACTTAGACTACACATTACTTTACACTTACAGATACTTGGCCACACATATTCAATGTAATTTTCATCTCTGTTCTCAAACATCTATTACCTTAAATACGCTGCCACGCGAACACCAAAAGGTTTTTGGCCTCGCCAACAGCCGCTCGCCATTCTTCTCAGTCCTGCATGACCTTCTCCACCTGATCTTTCCATCACAGTCTTGGGCGCCCCAATGGTTGTCTGCCTCGTGGAAGATTTTCTGTTACCTTTCTCAGTGCGGAGTTCAGCTCTCTTCTATTTTAATGGCCAGCCCACCTCAAGCTTCCATTTTGATTGAAGCTAATATGTCTGGATCTTGATACAAAGCTCTTAGTTCGATGTTGGTCCTCATTCTGCATATTTCTTGATCACAAGTTGTCCAAAAATTGTTTAAAGAATTTTGTTGTCAAAGATTGTATAAATTAAATAATTTGTTACAATTAGACGAAATTAGATTACATGCAATTTATTTGATTGATATTGCCTGCAGGTATGTGAGGTGCTTGATGCCTCTGTGTACAGCCCGAGGCTTCATACTGCCCAACGATCCTGACAAACTGCACATACCTCAGGTGTGGGCCGAACATAACCACAAGTCCGACCTGTGCTTCAGAAACAAGCTCCTGTTCATCAGCAACCTTCGGAAACGAACACTCGCTGAGAATACATCGATCGAAGTCATTTACGAAGAGGAAAGTGAAAAGTAAGACAGCTAGTATCATCGGGATTGTGTTGGATAAAATTGGTTTGAATACCTGCTTATTCTTATCTGGTTGTTGATGCCACAACTAGTTTTGTTTTGTAATCCTTAGATGTTGAAGGATGTCTTAAACGCTGCATGAAGCAATATGTAAAAGGCTTCATGATGCGATTATGGCATCCATCAACCCCTGAAGATGACTCCATAAAAAAATAACAATGGAATATAATGAAACAACATACATAATAATACTCGTAATGTATTAATACTTAGATTTTTTTATTAGACTACCCATTTAAACAACTCTTGCTTACATCGTGTCTGCTTGCAGTCTGCTCACATTGTGCAATCTGGCTTGGCTCATTAGTTTTATTCCTTGACTTGAGAAGAAATACGATAGTGAATTGAAAGTAATCAATTATTGTAAGCTGTAACTAAACCTGTAAATCTAAACCTGACTGTAAATCAAACCAAATTTATACAGAGTAAAAAACTATACCAATCCGATGGCGGTAATTAGTCCAGAACTGTACCGCACTGACTTTTTCAGTGCATTGCAGACCCTTGTTTCTATGTTCTTGTGTCCTAAATTGAAACAAAACCAAGAAAGCTAGTTTTCAAATTGGGTTGGATTAGCTTTAAAGAAATTGTTAAAAATAGAACAAACTTTAATCTAGTTAATGTGCAAAAGTCAGCTCAATTCCACAGGCAAGGTTAGGGGTAGACTACTCAGTAATATCAACTTGAACTTTATTGTTTGTTTTTTTTTCAGAGAGCCTGTTGGTGCAGATCAAGTTGACGATATCTTTATAAAAACATTTATGCATAAACTGAGAAAATCCAAAATTGTTGGGGTATGTATTGGCTTTGTTAACGGTTATATGAGTTTTTATGTGTATAATGGTTTCAGTAGTGAACTTTCAAAACTTTTTAGGCATAAAAGTTGTAACTGGAAGTGAATTTGACATAAATTTTCAAGCTCAAGTTCAGCTTCATATCAAGGATTAATATGGAATCTAAAATTTTGTTGTGATCGCTCACATAAAACAACACATAAATCATCACAAGTTTGATATCACAATAACTCTACACATTGACCTACTATACATTCAAACTGGAGGATATGTGCTGTAAGCTTCAAAATGTACAGTGTCATCTACATCTAGGAATTGAACTGAAGGATAGGAAAGGTTTAGTAACCTAGATTATTATTGAACAACAGTTCAGGAGGCATACACACTACAAGGCTGAGAAGTAGTTGTTTGTGATACAAGCATGATAGTTCCCTTACAAGACTTGCCGAGCGCAGGACTTCATGGGATTACCATAAACACCTTCCAACAGAAACATACAATACACCAGCCACTAGTAAATTACAACTCACACATACAATCACAACACTGTTCACTATTTTAACACAACATTTTAACAGAATTATCTACTATTTTTGAAGTTTTATAATACTTTCGTACGTGAAGTTTATTGTGTAGCTTCTTTTAGTGTCTACTGAAGAAATTCATGTTATGCCTTTTTGAAAAAGTGTTCCAAAAGAGTAATTAACCATACCCCAACTGACTGTACCAGTTCCTCCCTGTAAACAGCGACTTTTTGGCGTACAAAGTGTGGAAAATCCGGTATAGTGTGAATAAAATCTTATTACCATGTTATAATATGTTTCAGGGTGACTTACAATTATTTCCTTTTGAAGATTTCCCTGATGATTGCCCTCAGCAAAGAGCAACAAGTATTCCAGAACAAGTAAGTTAAAAAAATAAAATAAAACAATTTATTTATGTATCTGCCACAAACCACTAACCATAACTCAAGCGGAGACGAAACTGGGCAAAATACCTAGATTTACTAACACACGATTTAGGTTATCTTAAACTGCCATGTCTACTGGATATTGTATACAAGCATACTTCAAAAATTCAAATTTGTTCTCTGAAGTGGTTTTCTGCTAGAGTCTAAAAATTACCTTAATTCTTTTCATATGAAACAGAAAAGACGGAAGAACGTTTTTTTGAGTTTGGATATGAAACCTTTGTAATAAAACATATTAATTTTAGATTCCTGGGCCATCTACACCAGTTGGAAATGATCACAGAGAAGCTATCAACAAAAAAACACCTTGTCAGAACAAGGTTGTTGAGATATTCAAAAAAACGCCTCGTCAGAACCGTTTTGTGGTTCAGAAGAAGATTTTTGTCAATGTGAAAAAAGAAGATAATGATAGCGATGAATACACAGAAGAAGAGTATTTGGAAGAGGAGAAGCTGGAAGAGATAATAACTTTGCAGCCTAGCGAACAGCTGGTCCGGGCTTGCATGGAGGTGGGTCGGGTTCAATCACAACTACTTTCCTTTCAACCTTTAACTTCCATAGCATTAAAGGATTCCATAACATGTTAAAGGATTTTTTTTGGGTGATCAGCCAACATTCAACGGTGGCCCACAATCGGATTGTTACAACTTCAAAGATATATTTTATTCCGCAAGACATATTAATAGAAATATGTTTTACTTTGATGTTACTAAAGTAGCGTTTAGTAAAGTTAGTAAGGTCTTGGTTTTCCAGTCTAAGCCGGCTGTGGGGGATAATTGGAAAGGTTGTATGCCACAGAAAAATATTAAAACCCATTACAAACATGTTTAAAATCCTTAAATTAATTGTATTTGTTGCCAAACCTATTTAAGACTTGTTGTTGTTTTCCATGAAAACCATAATCACTATTTTAATTTAAAAACACAAAAACGGGAAACACTGTAACAGTAAAATAAATAAGGTACTTAATTGCCACTCAGCTATAGATTTTGGTTTGCGCCACAACAAAGACTCTTAACAATTGTTATTTTATCAATCCCGATGAGAGTGTTGTTATCGATATTTCATTGTATCAGATTGTGGCGGGTATGCGGAAGCAATCAAAAATTACAGTTCTTGTTCAGATGCCTAAAGCCTGACGTGTTTTTTTTAGTACAGACAGGTAAAAAGTTTTTTGATGTACTTATTAAGCCACATGTACCAGTTATGTCCTGTCAGACCACACTGAAATGGCATGCAATTTCATGATACTAGCTTGTTTGCATGACACTCAAATTTGGACGGTAAAGACTCACTGTTACTATATGTCTTCTATATGATTTCTAACTAGAATACATTGAACTAGTTTATTTTGTTTTGAGTTATGTAACAGTGTTAACCACTTAGATATTTCATTTAAAAAAAAAAAAAAATATGTTTTATTAATAAATATGTGAGAAAAACATGGATGAGTGGTGGAAGAGGTTTGTGATACGCTAATCTACTGTAAATTTCATCCAGATTTTCTTCTTGATTTGGTCTCAGCCTCTGTTTGCTAACGTAAAGCAGTGATTTAACTCTTAGAGGCATTGTCATCATCAGCACTTAGGCATTAGCCCATTTAGATTCAGATTTTCATTAGGTTTGTGTTAGTGTTAAAATTGTAATATTAATATATAAGTAATGGGATAAGTGATATAAAACTTTGTCTTGTAATGAGACCTAATCACAAATTGTGAACTTCAAACAAACGACATTTCCAGACGGAGAGTGAAGATGATAATCGTAAAGCACCAATGAAGAATCAAGGAGCATTGCACCCTGCAGAGATGCTATACTCTCGTACTAACAGTATATGGTACTACAATGGAGAGGGGTATTACTACCAGGTCAATAATACGAAGGAAAATAACATGTAAGAAACTATACCAATGAATTTTATATCAAATTATCGTTACATTTGAAGTCAGGAAGGTTTATAATTTCACATATCCTTAAGATTTGAGTTCTTTAGTGCTGCTGAGCCTAGCCACTGGATTCAGCTGACCAGAAAACTTAGAAAACCATAAATGTTTAAATTAAAATGACCGTCAAAAAGTCAGTGAAGTACCATACATGAATATTGAACCGAACTTGGAAATTTGAATTATAGCCTCTGTGTGGTTGAGCTTTCATTCTTGAAAGGCATTTCGTTGGTTCTAGTTTAATGTCGTTGTGTAGCAATTAACCATCCGTTTATTTATCTGTCCATTTCCAGCCAAGTTCTTTGAGTTCTTTATGCAACTTAATTTAAATTTCTGGTTTGCCTAAACAATTTTGGAATTCAAACTATGTCCAGCCCCAATTAGTTAAGATTAACAACACTCTGGTGCTGTGTAGCCTTTTTATGAGCCACAGCTGCTTAGTTAATACTATACATTTTCCACTTATATCCATCCAAAGTCTTAAAGCAACATTCCCAATATTTGTTGACTAATGCCTTTAATGCTTCTTTGTGTAAGTTTTTGAATCATGAGATTGAATCATAGCATTTTACTTTCGACCACTTTTATCGTATCACAGAGAAGTAAGGTATAGATAAAACACGCTTATGGGATTACTGTACGCTTTCAGCTATGTTGTGTTGGAAATATAATTATGACGAACAGGAAGAGCCTGAACTACAAGCACTGTGCAGAAAATCCTATCATACAGAGTTCTCCTCCACTGTGAGCATTGTAGTACATGAGGGACTTTACCCTAGACACCAACACTACTTCTAGCCACCACTTAAGTGTACCATTGTACGTTTCTTCTGTACTTTACTTCTCTATGCTCATATGTAGTTTAATATTGTTTTATATTTATATTGTGTTTCATATATTTCTCTGCTTTATATTTTTGAAAGATGTTAAGTCAACAAATTAAGATTAAGATAAACGTAACATTCTCGATTGTCACAGGTATGTGAAATGCACCGAGCCGAAATGTATGGCACGAGGGTTGATACAGTTGGATAAAGACGATGCTCCGATCATTCCCTCTGCGACTATGCACAACCACGAGCCCGACTACGCTAAACGTGATCTACTGGTGTTCATTCAGAGGTGTAAAGAGCGAGCGGCCAGGGAACTGCACTTGACTGTTAGACATATATTGGAATCTGAGCTAGAAAGGTAATTTACCCTTGTAGTCTAAGCATAAGAGTAATTTGATTCTGATTCTGAAAGAGCGTGACACTAAAGAGACAAAAAAAAACATAACATGAATGCTTTACATCATAGATTAATTGTCGTCCACACCATTTCCAAAAAAGACAAGTTTGGAAAACTGTTAAAATATATGTTTAAAGTGATTTTAAAAAAACTAATAAATTGTAGGGATGGTCAAGTCTCGAAATTTCGGGAAATTTTCGGGAAATTTTCAATCTCGTTACACGAGACGAGATTACTTTTTGGCCGAGATTTTTATCGAGACGAGAATAAAAAAAAATAAATAAATAAAAAAATAAAAACGCCTGCAGAAAGTCAATGCAATACCCGCAATACAGGAGCGTGTTGTAGTTGCGTTTCCTTTTCGAAGGCGTTCTTATTTAATTAATTCTTTTAATGTAAATAATACTTTAATTCTTTTAATGTAAATATTACTTTAATTATTTTAATAATATTACTTTAATAACATTTAAGAAGTTTTGTTAAGTGTAAGCAGTGTGAGGAATGTTTTATTACTATAAAAAAAGTCAAAACAAGTAACTATTTTATAAAAATTAATATTGCTTTTATTTTATGATTTATTTTATTTTAGGATAAGTTGAACTCTATCCTAACTGATATCACCATGTTTCCTAATCGTAGGCATTTTTAATAAGTTAGGCGTGATTAATAAAAAAATGTTATGCTGATGTTATTTAATGAAAGATTGTAAATATTCTTGCCTATTATCATTATTTTAGTATTTAAACAGTCATCTAACAATGTTACAAAATCAGGTAAAAATTTCGAACGTGCATTTCCCGTTGTGTATGAGAAGAGAAATCTCGTCTCGATCTCGTCTCAAAATTTTATGAGAAATAAAAAATCTCGTCTCGTCTCGTCTCGAACTAAAAATCCAATCTCGTCCATCCCTAATAAATTGTAAATGGTGAATTGTTGTTTAACTATTTCAATAATAGAACAAATTTCAGAACATTTTAGACTAATTTTAGAATCTCTTTGTAAATAGCTTGCCACGCTTGTTTATATACACATAGGCAATAGACAATAGACAATAATCTTGAATGACATGTTCGTTGAGAACAGTACATGCGTAAGAGGAATTATACATATTTATTTAAAGTAACTTTAACAGTGGAAATAATTCAATTTTTGTGTTACTTTTACAGGTATATAAATCCATCTTTATGTTCTTCACAATATAATCTAATAATAAGTATTGGAACAGAACTTTTATTTTTTTCAATCAATTTTTGTGCTATATAAGAGTTTTTGAAATCTTTATCCTATTTATTCATTAGCATAATGGATTTACAGACTCCATACTATAGTTATTAATGTTTTGCGGTGGTATTTTTTTCAGAGACGATAAAGTGGATATCAAGTATGCCGATAAGAAGAGGATTGAAGCTCAAATAAAGAGATATAGAATTGCATTTGTAAGATCCAGTGTTATTTGTTTTATAATTATTGTTAAGATTAAAATAGTTCTTGATCCATTCCTTGAACCAGAAACTTATAGTCTTTTTTCATATTATACTGTATAGCTACATCAATGTAGGCCTACTATTATTATTATTACTATTTTTTATTACTTTGTTACAAACCACTCTTTCAAATCATTGCAGATAATTAAAATTCCAATCCAGCCAAATGTACGCCAAAAAATTCTATATTATGATAATATACTTTTAAAAAGGATGGTCATTTGTTTTAAATGTTAAGTAGTATTATACTTTAATACTTTACTTTACTTAAATACTTTTCAATGAAATGGCGACCATACAAAGTAGGTATTTTAAGCCAAGTGTGAATGGAGATGAGTGGTGCGATCTTGTAGTCTTGTTAGTGACTAAGGCCGACCTATTCCTTAGACACAGCTGTTAATTAATAGCCCATACAGCCAATGGCAACTAAGGGACCTACAGTTTATAGTGGAATCCGAAACACATTTTTGCCTGTGGTATATACAAATTGGTCTAATTATCAGGATAGTACTGCCGATAGTCGTAATACTCGCCCATGCAGACATTAATCCACACCAGGATTAACGCGTCCACAGTGCATGCCTATAAATATCCACAATTCGTGACCTCCTAGTAGCTGGATTACAGGACAACGCCAACTAAATTCTTAGTAGCCATTCTGTCCCTCAACAAAATGGTAAAGATTTTCTTGTCCTCAGCATTTAATTTCTTTTGCTTATCGTGCAGTTTTTAATAAACCCTGTGCTTGTGTAGATTTGTTACATGTTTTAATTTAGTTTATAAATATTAAGCTGCTAGGATTGTATAACAAATTCTTGTTTTTTCAGATTTCTGAAACACCAATGATGGAAGAGGAAAGCCAAAGCATTGCTGTAAGTTGTTATTTAATTATTTAAAAAGAAGTAGAGAGTTAATTGTTCAGTTAGTTAAATGTATTTATTTTTCATGTTTATAGTTACTTTAGTTTTAGTAAGTGGTTATGGAAGGTGCTAACGTAAGAGTTATAAAATAGTAAAAGCGTCTTCATTCACTAATTTGTATTAAATCTTAAATTAATTCAAACAAACCACAAAGTCAAATTGACTGTTAATGTTGGATAGTGTTTCATATGAAAACGTTTACATTATGTAAAATACTCAAGTTCCTACTTTAACTACTTCACCATCAAAGTTTTAATTTTTAGGAGGATTGCACTTCATTCAAAGATATGACTGCCAGAGATGATTCAATCTCTGATCCTGTCAAGGAAATCGAGCTTCATGTAAGTATACAATTTTCTTTACGTTTAATTACTAAAACAAGAGGTTTGATTTTTGAGCTGAGCCTATTCTAGATGAGGTTTGAGTGGTTGAGCACTGTCATAAATATCAGCCAAACTGAGCAGAGAGCACAGATTTGCAATATCTGAAAAGATTTAGAAAATTTTTAACGTGTGTATGTTTGTCAGTGCCAGTGGAATTTTATTTCTATTTTTTGTAAGGGAATGGTAGAATGTAGAACCCTGGTTTAGTTACTATCTAATGTCAACTTGTTAGAAAGCATCATTAATTCATAGCCCAATGATAAATGGCATCTGGGTCTGGTAACAATCTTGCTTGGAATTGAACCAGCGACCTTCAGATTTGAAGGCAAGCAATAAAGTAGAACCCTCATATCCAACCATGACGGGACCGGACCATGGTCGGAACAGCCAAAAGGTCGGATGTTGGGAGGAGCATAACGTGAAGTTTCGGCGACACTGGTAATCATCTCCCACAACCACGGCAACAACCGTGAGCATATCTTGTAGTCTCCGCAAAACCGATAATCATCTCACACGACCGTGGCCACACCCGTATGTCTTGTGGCTTCGATGACACCAGTAATCATCCGCGGGCATTAGAGCAACACCCATGATGTACCATTCGGTACTGAATGTGCTCTGCTTTATCACCTCAGAGAAGACATTAGTTTGCTTAGATGGTCGGACACTAGGTCGGATATCCCAAGGAGTTAGTTATGCTGAATTTGGATATGAGGGGTTCTATTGATTCTGTAACCAATCGGCAATATTCACAGTGTTGCTGATGCGAGGGATACAGTAGAACCTATTGATCAGTGCCCCTATTGATTGAGTTATTTGGTGTGTAGCCTTCAAACTTTTAAGATTAAGATTTAAATTACGTTGATTGTTAAGATTGCAATTTACATTGGTCTTGTTAATTTTAAATTTCATCTGTTAATGTTCTAACAAATTTAATCATCCAATATATTGTTCAAATTAGGCCTACCCAAATCATTTTGCAATTGACATTAAGGGGTAGTAAAAGTCTTAGAATTAACCTAGATATCCAATAGAAAACCCAAGTTACAATAGAGTAACAATTTGCTCTCTACGATTCACATTGGATTCATAAATCCTTTAATTTTTCAATATGACCTTATCTTGTGCTTGTTGCAGGTGGGTTCAGTACCTGAGAAGGTCCCTTCCCTGGTTGGAGACTCCCTATGGCATGCTGATGGTTACTACTACTCACCGCTTACAACAAACGTGACTCCTGAGTAAGTTGACAATAATTGTGATTTTGCCCAAGTGTTAGTTTAGATTTTTGACAAACAATTGTGAAATTTTGATGGCCGTTATTTACTGTGTTAGTGACTCTGGAAAACTGTAGACTAGGGTCTGCTGGTCAGACATTTTTACTTTGGGGTTGTCCAGAATCGGTTGATTGGTAAAATTTATTTTTTTAATTGAATTTTAATACAGTACTGCAATTGGTTTAGACAAAATTGCAATATCTACTCCCATATTGCAGTGAAATTTTGAAGATATTCTACGGTCAATACAAAATTAAAAACATCCTCTGCAGTCACTTGAAAATCATTAACGTCTTCTGCAGTCATGGCAAAATCGTGAACATCTTCGAGCCTTTTCCAAGACCTTGGCAAAAGTGTGATCGTGATTTGCAATCGCGGTGAAATTGTGAATTTTCCATTGTGCATCTTTGTAGACCCTTTTTGCAATCAGGAAAATAAAGGTTTGGCTTGGCTCAGTCAGACACAAGCTTGGCCTTAAAATTATATCCTGTCCTTACCGACCCTTGGGGCCAACTGTTACCCAGTCTTGACCCAAAAATGTCAGGGACCTACTGTAGACAGACCTGAAGTGTAACTTGATTTGTGGTTTGACAGGGAAGTGAAGTGTGTAGAGAAGGTGTGTAAGGCACGAGCTGTAGTGACTCTGGGAGACAGAGGTCAACCACTCAGTATCAGACTGTCTGAAGGAACATTACACAATCATGGGCCAGACGTGGAGCGCAAGGATCAGCTGATATTTATCGACCGATGCAAACGTCGAGCAGCCACCACATTGCAGTCAGTAGAAGAGATCTACTATGACGAAGCAGCCAAGTGAGTGATCCTTAAACTCATGACATCCATTTTTTTTTCTTGTTACTCATTAATTGAATTTTGTGTTAGTATGCCTACACATAACCAAAATTAATCATTAATTCAGTACACATCTTGAGGGGACATAATTGATAAAGACGCATTATCTAGGGCTACTTAGTGGCTAATTTACTTTCATTAGTTAAGAGGCTTTTTGTAAAATACACAATGCAATAATAACTAAAACTATATACTAAAGTTGGACTTTTTTCCTATTTGAAATTAGATAGCGACCAAAGGAATACCTCAAAAGCCAGTGATAGCAGTTTTTTAAAGGAATAGGAATGGCTAAAAGCTGTAATAAGGTATGGGTATTTGTTAAGGGTATTTTCAATAAATGGAAATCAACAGATGTTTTGTGGTTTGTAGGGCCCCAGAGGTTGCTGCTCAGCTGAGCGGGGTGAGAGTGAAGAGAGCCATGGCTGTTGCGAAGAAGGAAAAGTTGGTAAGTTCACACTCAACTAGTCAAGAAGGGTAAAAAAGGAAAAGCAGATGTTCTGGGAATAATTGCTACAAAATATTAAGCTGGTTTTTGGTGATTTGTTGGTGAGATATTGTTGGTCTTAACTGGTGGAAAATGTGGGTAGACCTACTGCAAAATAGTACATTTCATCACACTAGGGCCTAAAGTGACTCTTTTTGACCCGAGGTCAAGTTTTACCTCGGCGAGGGTTAAAAAGTCACCTTTTGCCCGTGTGGTGAACTTTATTTTTTGTCATTTTTCAACATTAATTAACAAACAAGCTTGTTTTCAATTCTGCTAATGCGAATAAGCAGCTGTTTAGTAATTGATTAAATCATTTTGTCCATTACGATTTTGTCATTATACCACTGATATGTCGAGCAATCGACAACAATAGGCCAGAACCTTATCTAATAAACTAATCGATAAATAATTTTTATCGATACTATTGCCACAATCGAAATTTACAACTGTTTACAACAGCTGATTGAAATAGAGACTAAAAATGTTACTTTAGCTTTAGACCCACAACGCATGCATTAAAAACGGCTGTTTTTGCTGCAGTATGACAAAAAGGATAATTTTTGTGTTTTTTTGTAATAAAATATGGTAGCCTAATGAAATAAGACCAAGAATGAAGAATGTATACAAACCAATTGCTATTGTTACTATTAGCCAAATGTCTTGTGTGAATTAGCTGCTTCTATAATATACAGCTATTCAAATTTTCCATGTGCAATTTCTTTCTTTATTATATTTATGATTTATCCAGGTCAACTGTTCCATACAAATCATACAATAATTTATAAATATGCTTCACTACCATAAATTACTTATAAGCTAAATTATAAAGGAGTGAAGTAATCATATGTGTAGGTATTGGACAGAAAAAACATACAAAACTGGTTGGGACTTGTTTGCAGGACAAGTTATGTGTCACGCAATTCAGATGAATTAAAAAGTATTTTAATTTTTTTTTTTAGAAAAAAGGCATTAAATTGGAGAGTAAGGACCATGGAATGTCGGAGCTTGGAGAGATGGCGAAGTTATCTCAAACATCGACGACATCAACACCCAACGTAGAGTCGCAAGAACCGCATTCTGATGGCGGAGTTAGTGAACATGATACACAAGATGATCTGTGAGTTAATTGGCTCAGTAATATTAGACTTTTAGTTCTTAATTGGTATTTATTGTTTTACTTACTCTTACTCCCAGGGCCATGCATATCTAAGAAGATATTTGGCCGCACCAACAAAGCCTCTCCATCTTGCTCTATCCTCTGCATCCTCCTCAGTTGCTCCTAGTTGCTCCATGTCTTTCTTTACTTGGCTCCACCATTTTTGTTTTGGCCTTCCTCTCGGTCGTCTTCCTTCGGGATTTCTTAGTAAAACTAATTTTAACTTATTTTGCTCCTCTCTTCGTAAAACATGTCCAGCCCATCTAACTCTTCTACACTTAAATTCACACACCACATCTGGATCTCTGTAGAGTTCTCTCAGTTCTCTGTTGTGTCTCTTCCTCCATTCACCACCTTCATAAATTGGTCCATAAATTTTTCTTAAAATCTTATTTTCGAATGTGATTAACTTCTTTTCTTCTTTTTTATTTGGTTTCCATGTTTCAGCTCCGTATAATAATACTGGGCTGATTATTGTCTTATAAATTCTAACTTTGGTGTTTTTAGACAGTAACTTAGAGGACATCAGTCTGTTGCAAGCGTAGAAACATCTGTTTGCCAGATTTAGTCTATTTTGAATTTCTATTTCTTCTTTGTTTTCCCTGGATAAGATAACCCCTAAGTACTTAAAATGTTCTACTTTTTCAAATGTATGGTCATCTACCTGCAGTGGGCCTTGGGCTATACCTTGATTTCTTGAAAATTGCATATATTTGGTTTTCCCATCATTTACTTTTAATCCTAATTGTCCTGTTTTGTCCATAAATATTTTTGTTAGTTGGCGTAGGTCCTCTAAAGTTTCTGCAAAAATGACGACATCGTCTGCAAACGCTAATATGTTAATTCTGGAGCCAATTGAAATTCCCTTATCTATTGTTGTCACTTCTTGTAGAGCTTCTTCTATTGCTAAGTTGAAGAGGATATTTATTGTTTTAACATTTTTAATTTAATTGGTATTATTTTAACCCTTTAAGGGGACATTTTGTAATTACCGGTGCAACTTTGCTACGGTAATTTTCCCCCTAACCATTCCTCGATTTGTCCTATGATGTTGGGCATAAGTGTGCTAATCATGATTAAACACATTGTTTCAATGTCAAAAATATAATTTAAAAATACCTAGGGTGAGAGCAATTAGAATTGTAGGTTCATATTTACATATCAATGGTTCATAACCTTCCAATGGTTCTCTGAAGGTTCATAACCTTCCATAGGTTCTTTCCATAGCAAGGAATCTTTCATTGTATTTTTTTTTTTTTTTTACAATATATCGATCTCACTCACTTCAATCGGGAACAGCTGTGAAATTCATCAGCAGCTAAAGGATAACGGGCTATTTCCATTCCTAGTTCGAAATAGTTCACTGATTCGATGCCACAACCTCTTGGGATGTTTTTGACGAGAAGGTCTCGTAAAACCATAGCAGTATCTTTTTACTTGAATAAACCTCTCTGAAGGGTTAAATATTATATTACTGATACTGAAGAGAAGTTGTATGAGAAACGTTGATAATGGTTAAAAATCTCTGACGTTAAACAAACCGTTATTTTAGTCTACATGTAGGTTACTTAAAACTTATCAAACGCAAGTGTTATTTTTTGTTCTTTTAGAGGTTGGTAGCCTCTTTGCTTTATTTTATATAACAGAGATTTTTGGTGAGAGGGGTCCAGTAATAGGTCTTAAATTGTACCGAGTAAAATTTTTTTCACTGGCCAGTAGAACACTGTTATGTTGTTGTTATTGTGTTTTTTCAAACTTCCTAACGTTCCATTTTTTCTCTAGCTATGCCCCAGATACAAGCTATTCCAGTGAAGACAATTCTAAAAAGAAGAAAGCTGTAAAAGAAAGGCAACAGCGGTTTAAAAAGAAGATACCAGATAATAAAATTAAACTTGGACCGCAGAAGAAAGAACTAATATTACAAAAGATTAAAGAAGCTACGATAAATAGGTAAGTGCATTGCACACTTTAGGACAAAGATATCTTTAATTGAAATTCAAAAGTTTCAATTTTCAATAAAAGCCCAGTGGTCGCCAGTCTGCAGGAACTGCGTCTAAAACCACTCGACTTCATTGGTCTTCTATAGATGTGTCCTCATCTTAGTCTTTGGCTTTTAATCAAAGCTATGATTGCTGGGCCCTTATAGATGTCTCTCAATTCTTTTGTACTTATCCTCAATGTAAATTTATGAATTGAGTCATTTAATTAATTTTCAATGTTTTTGACATCAGCATGTTTATTTTATGCAAGTTCCCTTGCAACAGGGCTTTGATAAGTTTTATTGCAGTTTTAAGTAGTCACTCTGTTGGTAACCAATGTGTTTGTTTGTTTTTTCCAGTGAACCAAAATCATCACCGAAGCTGGGACCCAAGTTTGTTAAACAACTTGTTGAACCTGTTGATGAAGAAGAGTCTTACGTAAGTGTTCATTCATCTTTAGTTAGTTAATGTTTTTGTATTCAGTCATATAAAATTAATTATGATCCATTTTATTTTTTAATACGACTTAAAAATTTGTTAGAACAATGTAAAGGAGCAAAGAGCTTTTATGTTTACGTTATTTAATTTCATGAGTGGAAGATAAAAACAGTTTTATGCTGAAAACAAAAATAAAACACAAAATGGTACTGGTAATAGTGTTAACTAAAATGATGTTATGATTCTCAAAATACAAAGGAGGCAAAGTTAACATTGACATCAACTTGTTTATTTATCACAAGTAACCATTGTTGAGAGATTGAATTTTATTTTGTTCCCCAAAAATGTTGTGAAAATGTTAAATGAGGCAACATTAAATTTACCTTAAAGAGGGAATGGTGTGTAACACAAGATATTTTGGTGCTTCCAGGTAGAAGAAGAGACGCTAGACGACACATATTCTGACTATGTGACGCTTGAAGAGGAGCTGGAATACAATGACATGGTAATTACATGTAAAACTTTCAATAACCAATTATATACTTGCCTTCAGCGTATTCTGAGAAAAATCTGTCAAAGAATGTTTTAACTTCCCTTTGTAGTGCTTCCTGATCATCTAGTTTTTTCTGATTCTATTTGAACTCGTCCATCTACCACTGTGATATTTTTGGGGTTCTGTGAGTACCCCATAGGTCAGGCTAAGCCAACAAAATGATTTTTGGATGAAGCTTGGTCATCTCATATTAGAGTGTCTTGATTATCAAGCCAAACAGAGAACGAACTTCTTTTCTTGAGGGTCTTATGGCGTTTAGCAGGGAGTGTCGGCAAAGATAGTACAATTGACAATTTGTTGCAAGTTGAGCCAAGCTTTTGCTATCACAAATACAGAAAGCGTCTGCAAAGATTTCACAATCAAAAATTTCACGCTCTCACTGCTACGGAGGAGAACAATTATGTTTCTGTGACTGCAGGAGACGATGATAATGTCTACACAACCGTAGGAGATTTTTAGAATTTTGCCACGATCAGGGCTTCTCCTTTCTTTAATAACAATTCTTATTACTTTAGATATAAGTTTTTAGAACTCTTTCTGTAAGCCTGATAGTCGGATTTCTATTGTACTTTCTAAAGCTACCGAATTTTTGGAATGACCCAATTTTGGCCTGAGACTCCAAGGTCAATCTTTTTGACCTCACCCGAACTTAAAAAGCCTAGCCTGCAAACCCCCTTCGGGTTCCACCATGCAATGTACATTTATAAGAATAAAGATTATTTGACCTTACACTTTTTTGTCACAGGAGGAAAACATTGCCGAAGAAGAGGAAACAGGAGAAGAGAACATTGCCGATTCAACTCAGAGCCAAGACACCAACAAGATTGTAGGTCTTATGTGATCTTCTTAAAGTACTTTTATTCACATTAGGTTTGCTTAAGGGGATTCGCCACTGAAAAGGGTGAATTTTTTTATTTAATGAGGAAGGTCGTGAAACTATTTTTTTTCTAGTAGGGTATTGTTTAACAAAACATGGAAAAATTTTGGTTTACTTCTAAATATAAATTATAGGCGGTAAAAAAATAAAATAGAGGTTTTTTCGATCAATTTGTAAGGGGTTTTAAAAATCGATATTCTGAAGAGAGTTCTTTATGGATTTTGATAAATTTGGTGTTTTTTTAAAAACAGTTATCTAAACTTAAAATTTAGGTAGATTCATAATAATATCTCAGATACTTTTTTTGCTGTGACACATTAAATATAATTTTTCTTCAGAAAAAAGAATTAGTTTGAAAAAAACGTTATTGTTCAGTACCTAATTAACTTAGATACCTAATTCTACCAAAATATTTTCCTAATACTGTCTAGAATAAGTAGTAAAAAATTCAACAATGTACCTGTAGTGGCTCTAAAGATATATCAAATTTTGTATTGAAAAACGTGAAATTTCAATGTTGCGGATAACCGCATTTGAATAAGAAGGTGTCCTATGATCTTGTAGCTATCGTAAAGAGCAAAACCCCTTGGTTATAACATATAATAACATTCATACATGGATTATATCATACTTTTTGGATGTAATAGGGTCCAATGTACAAAGATATGTAAAAAAAAATTTTTAAAATTTTTCATGATTTTTACCTATTTTCAGTGGCGAATCCCCTTAAGTTTATGATCAGTTTGATAATGAAAACTCATGTCATTAGAGAGTGATCAGTGTTAAGTATTAAAAGTTTGCTTCTCTTCATCATGTGATCTTCTTTGAAATTCACCTAATGCCCTGTATCATCTTCAGTAATCTATTTCATACAACATACAGGGTGTTTTTTTAGTAAGCACAACTCAAATTATAAGTAGAGTGAGTCGATGTTTAGGGACAAAATAAGCTCATAAGTTAGCAGCCCTGCTTTTTTAACGTCATTATTGCATTGTTGTCTACTCGGTTTAGTGTCATAAGGAATTTATTGTAAATTAATTTTAACATGGTTTTATTTCAAACATAACTCATGTTTAAGATTGATCAATGCTCACATATAAAACTAATTTATTATTGGACTTTATAACTTTTTCCAAATCTTAAATTGATTTTTAGGTCCTAATCTCACCTGGAAACATAACCTTAATTGCAAACCTTTCTTAACATAAAATATAATTATTCACTTATAATATACTCCACAATGCATACTCTTTGAGCTTACAATAACACCTTGTTGAGACTTATTCATAGTAAATTCCCATAAACACTAAGGGGTGAAGACAAAAATGCAACAATGCATATCAGCTGATCGGTAGATTAAGTAGAAGTAGCAGGGGCTCCAACTTATAAGATTGTTTTGTCCCTAAAAAAACACCCTGTATTGTACCAAAACTTACAAATCATAATGTGGATAAAAGCTTATAGCAAAGCTATCAATTTGTGTTATGCCTTGAAGATGACCTAAGACACAAGGCATTTTGTTTTTGATATAGTAAATTTTAAATTTAAATCCTTTTAACTGAATTGGCAAATTTGACAAGATCTAAAAGTTAAGATTTGATCTCTATGTATACAGTATTGTGCATCTGGATTCCTTTCAAATTGATATGCAAAACTCTCAAATCATTAGTCTTTGACATTTAACTAGAAACTAATATGAAAGACATTTAAATATATCATGAAACCCCAAAAAAAAAAATTTCTGCAAAGCATAAACTAATTCTTAAACACACTGGATTAATGTCTAGAAAGTAATACATAATGTTTTAAAATAAAATGTTGACAAAGAGACAACAGTAAATTCAAGACATAAGTTAACTGTTGTTAAACTTGAGTCAGTTTACATATGGTAAACTGGTGGGCTTCATTTTCATGCAGATAATATGCAGTCAGTTACAATCACATTTCACTACTACTGAGAAGCTTTGAATTACTGTTTTATAGACTAAGCTAAGTATAATTTGCAGGAAATATTTTGAGTCATTTTTTAGTTTATTTTTTGTTAGGGTGATTTAATGTTCTTTAAGATATTGTTGTCGACATTTTCAATTACGATTAGCAAGAGAAAAAATTTTTTTAAGACGTTTTGGAATCAGATTCTAAGTTCCAAAACTTTGTGAAAACTTTTGTTATTTTTTACTAAAATGGGATGGGAAATGTTCGCAATAATCTCTTTAATGGACTTTCTAAGCATTTAAACAAATTTAATGACGTTGGTTTAAAGATGTTACTATTATTAAATTAGATTTTTCCTACATTTCTTTTGTTTAAAACCACACAACATCTTTGGAGGTGGATAAACTCTTCCCGTTATCAAGCAAAAAATACTAATGCTACGTTAATCTATATTGGCCCTCAAAAGGTAGCCAGTCGCAAAAACTGTTTGCTGAAACAAAATTAAAGATTGTGTCTTTGACTTGCCTCTACCGCTTCAGCGAGAATATTTAAACTAAAATTCTTTGAATTAATTGGAAAATAAGCTAGATAGTAAGAATAGTCAGCTGTGGCAAGGATTAGGATAGTTAGCTCGGCTTGGCCTGCAGGTTGTAATGGAGCGACAAGACATATTGCATACTGTGACAGAAATAAAGTTCAGAAAACAACTATAAATAGTTTTAAGAAATATATTTTGTCTGCAGTTAAAGATGTTAAGATGACAGTAATTAAAATAACGGAAAAATTACTGTTGTAGACCTGTCTAAAAGGGAATAGGCTTTAAATTCCAACCATTGATTAACCAAGAAAATGAATTTATTTTTCATCACGTTAAAAATTGAAATACGTTTACGTCAGGTTCACAATAGTAGTATGAAATCAATTTTAAACACATTACAAAACTAATGACTGAAAAGCAATAAAAGCAGGCCAGACACTGAACCTTAATGGTAGCTTGAACTATCTATTTCATATCCAACGTTGGTTGTAGCCAAATTATATCTGAAAAAGAATATGAATAGCTCATGCACCTGTTTTGCAAGCCTAGGGAATTTTGGTTGTAAGGTTGGAAATATCCTGAATGCCAACCCTGGCCCCTTGCCTGATATACAGCATTACAATCACTAATTAGTAATAACTGTATTGTTTTACGACGAGGCCAAGATTTTCAAATCTCTACAACTGGCAGTCAAAATTGCATGGTGTTACATCCAGTTTACTGAAAGTTGTAGCTCCCTTGAAAGTGTTGAGTTGACAAAATGTAAAATTTTATATTGATTAAAATGGTTGCTGATTATTTGAGTGTGAGAGTGTTTTTGTAGTTTTATATTCGTAGATAATGTGCTATCTGTGTGATACCGGTACTGCAAATAGGCCTAGATGGAATTTTTTTAAAATTAATTGGATGCATAAGAACTAAACTTAGAAGAACCTAGTGTACAACTGAACATTGTAGAACAAATTTTGCTAAAATATCCTATCAATGATAGTTTTTAATTTTATGACTATCATTTGGTTAAAAATCATTTATTCTCTCTATGAGGAACATTTTAAGTTCAATGAATAGCAATTTTATCACACTCATAATAAATTTACTTACTTGTTTAAATGCAAATATTCAAATCCATTTTAAAATGCATTTCAGATTTAAATTATGGTTATTGTATAAAATGATAACTGTTGGTTACATAATTTATCTTTTTCTAAACTTAAATTGCTTCCTTTGGAATCTAAAATCAATTTTTTTAAGAACTTTCTTGTATAAATTCTAAACTCGAGTTTTCCGAGACAACTTTTATGGCAAAAGCTTATCTTACCAAATTTTAAAATAGATGTTACTTTAAAGAACCCTTCATCCTAGTTAACTGTCCCTGCTCTAGTAAAACAGAAAATTTTGGTAAAAATTAATACTTATGATACATAGAGTGACAATGGAATAATGGTAGTGAACAATTTTGACTTAAAGTGAAAACTGGACTTTTTGAATCCTTTAACTTAAAATTTAAAGTGATAACCCTGTTCTGAATGTATACTTCGGTAAAATGTATTTTTTCTGGTTCAAACATCAAAATCAAAGAAAAATTGTAAAATACAAAACCAACTGTAGCTAATGCTAGACTTTGACACATAATAAACACAAAACATCTACACATGGCTGGGAGGGTTTACTTTTAACAATCATTGGTAAAGTTAAGTTGGATATTCCTGCAAACACCAAAAGATTCACCTCTACTGTCTTCTGCTAGGAGCAGCCTTCTCACCTGGTTCATGGAAGGTTAATGAACAGTTTCTGCTATCACGACGGGAAAGGTTTCTACTACGACACCCCCAGCGTTACTGGTGGCCTCAGGTAATTATAATGAATGATATAGTCCTCGCCACCCTAAGTTTAGGCAGCCAAAGGCCGCACTAGATATACGCGTGCGGCTTTGCGCTGCCTCAACTTAGGGTGGCGAGGACTATAGAAGGTAATTTCTTGGTCAGCAAATTGAGTGATTAAGTAATATTCCATTCCCCCTGTAATTGGAGTGAGCTGGTCTAGTGGTAGAGCGTGGGACTCGGGTCCCGGGTTCAAATCCTGTCAAATCACTAATGCATTTTATCTAAGTGATAATGCCGCAACCTCTAGGTCTAGCCTGAAGTAATGTGAAAAATAATCCCAGGCTAGACCCTAGAGTCAAAAAATAAAAAATAAAAAAAAACAGTTTACAGATAAGTATCATGATAACTATTTCAAAAGAATATTCCAGCTTTTTAGATTGTAAAAAAAAACTTTTTGAACAGTATTGTATGGAAAAAGTTGTGAGGAAGGGCCTTTTCCGAGGAAGAAAATACCGATCACTCTGCAAGCACTCTTTGAGTTCTAAATTATATTTAAAAGAGACAGCAGTTTCAAAAAGACTTTAAAAGTATTTTAGTTCTTTTTTCTTTTAATACTACACCAACACATAATGGTGCATTGGTAAATGTCAATATTAATATGACGAGAGATCCCTTTGAAAATGTCCTGTGAATGTCATAGTTAAACAAACACAATTATAACTTTAAATCACAGACTAAACTTATAGCCATTATAAGTATTTATTGAAACAATTTTTGAGCTTTGATAGTTAGTTTATTTAAAAATTAATCAAAAACAAATGCAAACATGATAAGCTTACATTTTAAGGAAAGTTTATTTATTGCTCCATTGGTCAAGTGACCCCCAAGGGGTTAAGGAATAATACGTTCTCAAGGTTACTTCAAAGTTTTTTGCGATTACTGACCATAAATGAATGTTGGAGTGGATTAGTACTTATTTTTTAGAGCTTGGCACATTTTTAAGTATCAATAATAATACAGTTTTCTGCATAAGATTTTTGGCATTCAACAGTCATTCAAGATAACAAAATTAACTTGAAAAAGTTAATACTCCAACAAAACTATACTTACTTACTTACTGCCGTGGCTCTTGGTACCCAAGGTGGTACTTTGCCTTGCCAACACACTGCCTCCAGATTTGTCTATCCATTGCCTCCTCTTCCCTTCTTCCCAGTCTTCTTAGGTCTTTTCTAACCTGGTCTCGCCATCTCAACTTGGGCCTTCCTGGTGGTCTTCTGCCCTCCGGATTGTTCAAAAGAACGTTCTTGACTAAGGAGTCGTCCTCTTTCTTTAGTAAATGGCCATCCCATCCAACAAAACTATATTATGATATTTGTTAATCTGGATTAATAAAGGACTCTGACTGTGACTTTGATGTTTCCTTTTCAAAATTTACCAACTTAATGTGAATAATATTAAAATTAAGCATAAATTTCTTGGAACTGGTAGGCCTAGCCCAGTCGGAAGTTAGAATCAAAATCTTACAATATTGTAGGGCCTACCCTAAACCTACTTTATATTACGTTATGCAAAACCTTCCCTTGGCATCATGACCGGTTATTGTGCTTAGATGTGGCGTAACAGGGAGTTGGTATTGTAGCGAGACTTTCCCTTACATTTCTGTCATTGCGTACGTTGTCACCCCCGATGTACACACATATAAGTATGAATACAAAAAGAGAAACTAATACAACACGTTTGCTCAGGTTGATGAAGTGTGTGATAGAGGGATGTCCCGCTAAGGGTTGTATGCAGGCAGGGGATGACGCCCCCATCAACCTGGCGCCCCACAGCCCCGCTCACACTCACCCCGCCGACCCGTTACATGAGCAGCAGCTGCGGTTTATTCAGAAGTGCGAAACTCGCGCACTCAACAGTGATGATCCCCTGGAGAATATTTACGAGGAGTTGGCTGAAGAGTGAGTGAATTACTGAAAAAATTACGTTCACTTTGTAACGTTCCAGAAGTTATTTGACTATTGTAACAATGTAACAAATTGTAAAATTTGGAAAGTATAACAGATTTGCACTAACAGAAATATCAATAGTTTAATGATGACGTTCTTTTTCTTTACTAAGAAAACACACAACGCAAATTAGAAATATAAATGTTAAATACATTTCAGAGCTGAGCACAATTTTTTGTGTGAATAATGATTGTCAAATGTGATTTTTATTTTACAATGAAACCTCGTTTTAACCAAACCTTGTTAAAATAAACTTGGGTTAGTTGTAACGATAAGAAATTCAAATGAATTGGAAAACTGGCAATGCAATTGAAACTGTTTGCCATGGCACAAGATTTTGGCTCAGCTTGACCACATGAATGTAATGAGCAGTGGGATGTGGATCGTATATTGTGATATAGATAAAGTTTAGAAAATAACTGACAATTTTTTTTTAAGATTTTTAATGACACAGTTGTAGGCGTTAATATGAAAAATTTTTCAAGATAATGTTTAACAGATGGTTGGAGATATCTTTGAAACTAAAAACCCTTTCAATCCCAAACATTAGTTTACTGAAAATAAAAGGGTTTTCAAAATGGCCTCCCCACCTTTATTTTAGTTAATCAGGGTTTTACTGTTTTAACTAGGCACTAAATTAAAAAGTTCAGCTTCAGTTTCCATTATTTACTTTATTATGTTTTCAGAGACCCAGAAACGTCTTCTAAACTGGTGAAGGAGAATTTGCTGTACAAGATGAAAAGAGTCAGAGATAACAGTAAACCTCAGAAAAGAACATCTAAACCAAAAGTGAGAAAACGACAAACCACCTAGAAATATTTTTTGTTTCAGGCTTAGCTTATATTTTACTATAGCCTACTTTGGAATATTTCACTTTTGACAGATGTATTTCTTTTTACATTGACATATTTTTTTAATATTTGCAGTATAGTATTAAGAATTTTCTTTCAAATTTTTGTTGTTATTTACAATTTAAATATTTGTAATAGCATCAATATACAAGTAAGAAAACTAAACATCATTTAAATTAATCTATACAAAAAATATTGTATGTGTGGATGTTTTCTATTGAAACTAGTTTCTAATTTTTTTTTTTTTTTCAGGGAATGAAATCTGAAGAGTTGCCTGGTTTCCGTCCAAACTCAACGATATTCCATGACCTGAAAGGATATTACTATCTCTTAAATAACTTGAGAGACAACAAAAGGTAATAATTTGTTTTAGGCTTACTGATTTTCTTGTAAGTGAAATAAAAGTATTTATTAGTTTGTTTTTGTGAACATTAATATTAATACTCTTAATAAAATACTCCTCTGAAAAGACTCAGATACTACCTTTAATTAGATTCAAACAACATCAAAGTCCTCTAGTTCCTGTTGGTGCTTAAAAAAACTGATTTTATGGAAATCTGAAAACAATAATACCAAATATAAATTTTTAAAGACATTACGAATACATTTTATGTAGTTTTTATATTTCATAAAAATATCTAATGACAGTTCACAACTAATTGAAAACTTGGTTAAGCCTTTTTACAATTTAATGCATTATGAAAGTTACTTTTGGCGCTCCGCAAATTTTTGGTTTGAAATTAAAAGTAACAATAAAGTAAATATAGGGCTTTGTTACTAAGACGAAGGTCGATGCACAAGTAAATGATGATTTTTGACTTATTTGTTTCCTATGTAAACATTTGCTTTTGTAAACTTAATTTTTTTTTTAATCTAGTTATAAGTTGTTTTGCAGAGAAAAATTGACAACTTCAGCTGTTTGAACAGCTGTGCTGGTTCAATTTGTTAACATGAACGTAAACCATTGACTTGACTTTAACTGCAACCGGTGACGGTTAATATAGGGTTTACTATAGATACTTTCCAATTGTAATAAACTATTAGCTTAACACAATGTAATGATCGTCTTTGTTTCTTGTCTTATGTAGATACATGAGGTGCATTGTACGATCGTGTAAAGTGCGAGGAATTATGCAGTCACACAAAGGTGCTCCGATACGCACCGGTTCCCATGTCAAGCACAGCCACGGACCCGACCTGCAGCATAGAAACTTCATACTCTTCCTTCATAGGTGCAAAGAACGAGCCACGAACGAAGAAATACCAGTGATGCAAATATACAGAGATGAGTGTAAAAAGTAAGTCTACAAAAATGGTTGGATTTTATTTGTTTTTCTGGTGATTCTACAAGTACTTAATTTATTTATTTATTTATTCATACACAATTTACAATAGCTACAGGTATAAACCCAAAACAGCTATAATGAAAAATAATACAATATTAATACATACATTTTGATTAATAAGGGTCAGTGAAACATTTAAAGAAAAAAAAAACACAGTTATAGCTGAATAATCTAAACCATCCTAACATTCATTTTGCTCAGTTATTTATACTAAATTGCCTGCTTGATATATAAAATTAAAGTTATTAGTGTTATTTTGATGGTTTACTACTGTCACCCGATTGCATATACTGCCCAGGCATTACCGATGACTTTGAACATACTTTTTTCCACTAGTAGCATTGGAAAAGGCCCCGCCTGGAGGCTCAACAGTTTGTGAGATTGATGTTGGTGGACACGGTCATAACGATGATGTGTGTGTAAGAGCATTTCCCCTCCACTCAAAAATTCCCAAAAATTCGGAGGAATCAAATTATGCACAGTCACTCCTAACCTAACACTTCTTCATTTTAGAAGAAATTCATGGATCTGTTTCTTTAACTAATGTGCATTCTTAAATACAAACCTTACTTATATCAGAGTATAGAATTGATGTGGTGCAAATAATATGACTTGTTCTCACAGGGATCCGATGTCAGCCGCTCAGATACCTTCACACAACTTATACAAGAGAATGAATCGACTTCGCAGACTTGCACAGATTTCCAGACTGACAGATCAGGTAAATCGTGTGACCAAGTGACAATGTCCTCAAAGTTTTGTTGCTAAATTTTCTCTAAAAAAATGCCCTCTTTTGATAATCGGGTTACAGTTGTTGTAATGTAATGTTGTTAGCTCGGCCAAACTGCAGATCATGGCATAATGTTGATAGCCATTACATATTCATTAATGTGTGTTTTATTAGAATAGAAACATTTTATCTTATGTTATGCAGTGATGAATTTCTCATCACATTCATCATATCTTCAGCTATAAGTAAACTATGTAAATGCTTTGTACAGGGTGTGGAAAAAAAATATCTGTGCCTACACGTTGCCATTATCTGTAGTCATAGAGCAGTGGTGGCTTGAGCTATGTGCATTTGTTAATTTTTTCCACTGGCCAAATGACTATTTATAACTTTTATGTATCTATGCTTATGAGATACTTATTTGAGCTTACAAAATGTTAACCAAAAGCACACATCATGACTACGACTAACTCATATGATTTTTCTAGGATCAAACTGACTTTGTCGAAGCGTGCCTCTCTAATACATCGGCAACAGACAGCCAACCTCATGAGCTCAAGCAGGTACTTGTCATAACAAAATGATTCCTGAATAAATTTATATTTCTGGTGATTAGCTTGCAGGTCAACCCTTGAGTTTAGTTATTTTTTCACCTAACTATTCAATTCACATGTTCAACAAAACTGAATATAACTTCACCAAATTAAGTAATACTCTAAAAAATCGTTATCTATACCAAAGTATTTGTTTTATTTGCCTATTCAATAGCCTACATGTTATATGATGTTCAGTATCCATCTACTTATTTTTATTTTTAAATTGTTATTTGAACATGACTCAGGGTTACGTGTAGACTTAGAGAAGGTAGGTACAGAGGATAGAACTCTGAGGAAACTTTCAGCTCTGGTATGTTGTGGCGGAAATATACTTGTGACAAGGACAGGACCTGAATGACGAGTACTGTGCAGGATTTAATCTTGCCCAGGGTCTTCCTCCACCGCGAGCGTTGTAGTACACGAGGCAAGGGGGTGGTGTTGGACTTTCCCCTAGACACCACTTAAGTGTATCATTGAATGTTTCCTCTGTACCTTTCTTCTCTGTGGTCTAATGAAGTATTATGATTATAGCCATGAATTATTTGCTTTCAGGAAGATGCATCTGAATGCTTTTCAGAGGCTGATTCAGAGGACAATGAACTGGTTGAGGAGGTAAAATTCCTACTTAACTTCAGATATTTCCCTATTGTTAATTTGTTATTTTTCAAACCTAATACCACTTTTATGCATCAAAGTAAATCCATTTGGTCACTTATGATTTGAATTCCCAAAGTATAACGATGAACACCCTCTGTACCAGAATTATTGTTTTTACTTGCTCCCCTATACTATAGTATGGAGAAAGTATTATTTTCGTCAAAATTTTAATGCATATCTGTGTGGTGTGTACAGAGCTACAGACCACACATGTTGTCCAATTTTGATTAAATTTGGTATGTTAAATCCATGGTATCTTCAGCTGTTTTTTTTTTCACTGTTTGGAAATTTTAATTTTTTATGGTTATTTTCCCATAAAAATAACAGAAAAATCTAATTTTCTCAAAAATGGCCAGGACGATTTTAATAAAAATTTACTATGTTATAGTCCTTTAAATTCTTAACAAAATGGTATAACTCTCATTGCAGTAGAAATTACTGTTCAAAGGTTATTGTAACTTATGAAAAACTTATGTTATACTATTTATTTATACTATTGGCAACACTGTCCCAACAACTCACTGGCCACCATATCGTACCTAAAGAAAACTATCTTCCTTAGTTGAAAATTCTGTAAGTGATAGTGGAATATTTTAATTTTTTGTGTATATAGTGTTAAGTTTTGTGTATCCTGTACTAGTTTGGACTCTACCATTCAGGTAAGGGTGCTATCCTTACAAAAAGCTTAAAACCCCTAGGTTCTTTTCTTGTATGTTACATCCTTACTAAACGAAGAATTATCCTGTTGTTTTTTGAATAATCGTAACAAATCATTGCATTTTGGTTCTGCAGTATTTTTTCCAGAACAAGAACCGTACTATATAATTGTGTTTTGGTGCTTTCCAGAAGCCAGAAGAACTACTGCTGCCATCAGAGGCTCTGCCCGCCCGTCGACCCAACACCACCATGTACCATGATGGACGAGGCTACTATTTCATCTATAACAACCATGGCGAGAATGTCTGGTAAAACAATCAACCCATACTTGGCATTCCTAAACTTGTTATAAACCTTTCATATTCTTCAGTTTCATTGTTCAAGTTTATGAACAATGGGTGAAGGTACCATCCCCGTACCTTGGATGGTATCATCTCTCAAGTACAAGGACTATTCAAAAAGTAAGGGCAGTTTCCATCTGATCCCGTTGGGCAAGCAAGTACAGAGATGTTTGCCAACTCAGTGACTGTTCAACCATAGCAGAAATGTTGTTGCACTGCCCGTTTTGCAATGTTCAAGTTAAAAGTGTGCTGCAATTGAAAACCTCGCTATTTGAGAGGTTTTTTTTTGTTTGCGAAAAACATAAGAACAAGTGCACGTAAAAACTTAAATAATAATAGTTTTTCCCCAAAATATTGCATTTTATTAAAGTGAGCTAAAGTTTACAGATGAAATTTTGTTTTTGAATGACAATAGCTAACCTACCAAGCAAACTACACACAATCTCCATAATTTAAATGGGAGGTTTTTCTCAGCCACTCAAACTTGTTTTGATCAACCTATACTTGTTTCCCAAAATGAGGACTTGGTTAGTAACACAGTACTTTGTTAACGAGGAGCTACATTTGCAAGTGTGCCAATAGACTGAGTTTGCAGGCAGAATTCTACAACAGAAGAATTTAAAAGCTCTCCCACTGCTAAATGTGGATTTTTTTGGGCAACTATTTAGAAAAGTGGTGTTTTAGTTGCTCTTTCAAATGTTTATAGGTAGTACATTTTTTCCTTGTACAAAATATTTCCAAAATGTTTTTATGACATTTGTTGTATCAGGTACATGAGATGTGTAGAGCCCCATTGTAAAGTTAGAGCTACCATGAAGGCTGTAGAAGGCAGTCCTATAGTGCAGACTTCCAACACTGTACACAACCACAGACCGGACTACAAGCGGAAACAGTTCAATCTGTGGATGACCCAAGCGAAAAACCGAGCAGCCACGGAGCTTCACAAAACCATCCCCGAAATATACAAGGAGGAGGCCGCAAGGTGAATTAGATTATACAAGGCGTTTTTTTTATCAAATGCAACCCACTTTACAGGTATGGAGAGTCACTTTTGGAAGCACTCACAAAAGAAACTATGTTGGCAGCCCTGCTTCCTGTACTTAAACTTAAACCAATTTATGTGATAGGTTACGTACCTTTGTCTATATTCAGTTTTAAAAATGTTAGTCTAGGGATTTATATTTTTGGGTCACAAGACCGATACTCAAATCCAACAGCAAAGTCTATGAAATCCGACTAACCACTTCATCAATAATTGAATTAAAACTAATTTAAAAATAATAACACTTAACTCTATAAAGGGGGATATTGGATACCCTATTATTTTAATAATGTCATCTGAACTATTGAAACAAATTAATTAAATAACTATTCCGCTTTTTCTTTTCTTTTAATGGGGGAGCTTCACAAAATAATGTAGTACCTCAGTAATACAATAATTTTTGTAATGTAGTCTGACCTGTTAGAACGAGCGATTGAACAACCCCTGATCAAGTCTTCCTTTTAACAGCAACCAGCTGTAAAGTTCTTGATGAGCAAGTAATAGGTGACAAAAATAATTGGGTTTTGTCCCCCATTCCCAAAAAACCAAGAAATGTTCCTAATTATAAATTTGATGCAATGGTATTTCCCATCTCTAGTTTACTGTAGGCTACAGTACATAAGCAAAAATGAAAGTGCTCTTTTTTTACCAAATATATTTTTTAGGTTAGTTGCTGTAAGTTACAAACATACTACCCATTCCTTAAAATAGTGTGAATATCACAAAACAGGCTATTCAAAGTTCAAAAGGGTTTAGTGTAGTTTTAAAGGAGATAGTAAGGATACACAACTAGCTCACCTCACCTGAAAAAAGAGTCCCAGAAGATTGTTACACATTAAGCTGATATTTCGCCCCTTTTAGGGGCTTCTTCAGAGTTGTGTGTCCTTCCTTGCGTTAGTTGTGTGTTCTTCCTTTCTCCTTAACAATAATTCTAAAGCCAAGTTGTTTTTTCCTTTGAAAACTACCCTTAAAGAACCATAAATTTAATTTTATCTCAAACGTCCCCATTCTTCCTTTTGTCCTATCCATATTTCCTATGTGAACCTTTCTTCCTTCTGGCTGAAAGAGGCCAAACAACATGCCTATAAACTGGTAAAAGTCACTTGCCATCGAAATATCAGTTTAATGTGTAACTTTTATGTGTTCTATTAACCTCCTGGGATTCAAAAGTGTTTAGTGGTAATGTGTGTAGCCAAGTTGTTTAAAAAGATTTATAGTTAACAACAATGTTTTTAGGGATCCACAATCTTCAAGCATGATTCGCCCGAGCAATATGAGAGCAAGACTGCATAGAGCAAGAAGAGCCAACGCAGCAGATTTGGTAATAGTAATGTTGTAGTTGTTTTTTTTTTGTCCATAATTGCATTAACAAAACACTAAATACTCTTACCTGAAGATATTTTTTAAAAGGAATTGAGTTCAGATAGCCAGTGATGGATACAGAATAATGTTTCAATTTAATGTTTCAACTTTTTTTAATAGTACAATGCTATGAATAAGTTATTCGATGGCCCAATTTGACAAACATATTTCCTTATAAATATGAGCCAGTGCAATCCCGTTCAATCGGTCTTCTGTCATGGTTGACCTGAGATAAGTTTTTATTCTTTTTAAATGAAGGGTTCTAATTTTATCTAGTGTAAATTGGATACCCAAGGGGTGGCTATGCCCCCCCCCCCCCTTAGTCCCTCTCTGGATCTGGCACTGCAGATAGCTTACCTTTTTTTTACCAGCCAACTGGATTTTCTTTCAAATATCTCACCTAAAGATGTAAAACTAGGATAAAAATTTTATTTAGAAAGTACCTTAACTATTTTTATTTTATTTGTAGGAAGGTTTACTAGCTGAAGGTGGTGATGCTTATGAAGTACCAAATACAGAGGTAAGTATCTAATTGTTATCTGATTAAAATTATGCAATACTTTTAAGTTACCTAGTTTATAATTGATTTATCTATGTCCTTGCTATGGTATCATCATATTGGTTAAAACAACAGCATTTATTTAACTATCGACAAACTTTTAGAACAAATAAGATGTTTTTTTACCAGTGGTCTGTGGTATTTTTACATAAGGAATTTGAAGAAGTCTTTAAACACTAGGGAAAGCGGTCCAAACACATATGAGTTGTGGTTGTGCCGGGGATCGAACCCATTCCTCCTGCACCGAAGCCCGAAGTCCAAGACGCTAACCACTAGGCTAGCATACATCCTGTGTTTTAATAAATTACATATAGCTCACCATAGGATAGGGATCTAACAAAATAAAATAAGCTGTCATTAGACAATATTAATTTAACATTTTTTTATTACTGTAATGTCTCTACAACTTCATTAATCGTCACTCGCGACAGAGGGAACACCCGTAGCATACATAACCTGCAGTCACCTTGACTTCAGTAATCGTTTCCCACGAAGGTGGCAACAACCGTTATCAGCGACAGTGGTGATGGTCTGCACGATTACGGCACCATTGACAATCGGCCTTTTGGTTAACCGATCGCGTTCGGCATTTTCGCCCCATACAGGAAACAGGGAGACGGTCAGACATCCCGAGGATTCGGTAATTTTGAGGTCGGATATGAGGGGCTGTATATTACCAAAATAAATCATTTTTCTTTCAAATGCTTGTGTTTGCTTGTTTATGGCATATTTATGTATCTAAGTATCTAAATATAAAAAAAAAACAATTGATTTGTGTGGATGTAGTTATACAGGGTGTTTTTAAAAGAATGCCGGGATTTCAAACGGTCGTTGCTCGGGGACTATTCAAGATAATTAAACGATTTAAACCTCAAATCGAAGGGAAAAGAATAAAGTTTTTTTCTCATTCTTTCATACAGTTCGGAATGATTTAATAACATTCAGACTTTCATCAATCTTATATGAGCGTAAAACTGGCAAAGTCTGTACGCTTAGGGCGATCGGCATGTTTATCTGATGTCTTAACTGAATCTTTTCGGCACAAAGACTCTATCTTTTATAGATAACATCATAAAGTTACCAATTTAGTTTTGTTAAACTGAAGACATTGTCGAGCAATCGATTTCTTCGGGCTTATGATGCAGAAATGTCGGATTTCATCTACTATGTTTGTTTTTAGCCGGCCGGGTGTCTTTTCAAAACACTTCGGTGCCACGAAACTCATTAAACCAGCTCCAAGTTTCTTTATCATCAAGTAGATTTAAATTAAGTTTAATTTATCAATGGATATAAACTCTGCAAACCACAGATTGCAATCTGTGCCTTCTGTTGCGCCGTAAACGTCGTACTGGCGACTGGCGTCAGACATATGAGTCACAAACAATAGCGGCCTATCACGCCGAAACTGTTTTACACATACCAAGGTCAAAGTTTCCTCCCTTGCTGCACGGTAAACACAACTTAGTTATTTTAGCTTTAATTTGACGTATAAAACGTTTAGTTACCTTGAATAGTATCCAAGCAGTTACCATTTAAAATCCCGGCATTCTTTTAAAAACACCCTGTATTGTCATGAGCTACTCTCAGATTCAACTCAGTTTAAATTTAGCTCAGTGTATATTTTATTTTATAAACTGATATTGACTAGATAAGAATTTGGATATTCTTCTTGAAGGAAACAACGGTGACGGATGCAGAAGAAGAACAAGAAGTAAACAAATTTGATACACAAGTTAAGGTAAATGTTTTAGTACATTGTTTATATACACTATAATTATATAGGTAAGGAACTAAGTAAGAACTATGCAGCAATTCAAACGGCAGTTAGGGAAGACAGGTATGTGATTAAGATCCCTCCATGTCTCCCAAAAGTAGCTTGGTCAAGCAAGAATAGACATTCCATTAATCACGTGGCGTTTGGAGTTTTTGATTTGACAACAAAAAGGCAGTTGAAAGTCAAATGAAGCAAAAAGTAAATGTTAAACAACAATTAAATAATTTATATAACTCGGTCGTGTTTGGATTACCTTTTCATGAAATAACACAAAAAATCAAAAACTTTAACTTATTTGAGATCGTTTGTTAAGAGTGCAGCTCGATCATTAGCGCAGAGCGTCGGCCGGTCCCAACCTATTGTAGGGATATCTAGAAGAACTTTATCTCTTTCCTAACTGGACAGACAATAGCTAGTATCGCACCTTATACTCTAAGCAAATATAGTTTTCCTTGATATTTAGCTGTAATTGATACAATTTCAACATTTGTAGCTTCCTCTTTATTATTTTAGTTAGTCAATTATTTATTGTTATAATCTAAGGCTTACCTTACGATCCAATTGATTTATAGTGGAGACCTAGGTTTCTACGCTGGAGCGTTATCGTCAGTCCTAGGCTAAGCTAAACTTTTTGTGTTTCATCTCTTACTTGAGATATTGTCGGTTGAATAGAAGTTTTACAAATACAAACATTGAATATACATAAATATTTACAAAGACATAGTGGAGAACTTAGATGCATGGCCATGATCTTGTCAAAAGATCACGTCTCCAAAGTTGAGACGTGATAAGGATCTTTATCACGTCTCAACTTTGGAGGTATTTGTAAATATTTATGTATATTCAATGTTTGTATTTGTAAAACTTCTATTCAACCGACAATATCTCAAGTAAGAGATGAAACACAAAAAGTTTAGCTTAGCCTAGGACTGACGATAACGCTCCGGCATAGAAACCTAGGTCTCCACTATAAATTAATTGGATCGTAAGGTAAGCCTTAGATTATAATAATGATTAATAACGATCCAGGACTATTTCTCCAAATCAATTATTTACATGAAATCCTCACTACCCAGATGGTGGTTTTACAAGAGGATAAAAATGAGTACTGTTCTGTTCTAGACTGAAGAATCACAAGATGGCAACACTGTTTACCAAACCGACACTGTGGATGAGAAGCCTGTTTATTTTGATGACAAGGGGTTCTCATATCATCAGACGACTGTCAGAAACAATTTGAGGTGAGTACCAGACGGAAACCTGTATTTTATAGAACTAGCTAATTGGCTGTCCTATAATATTGTGTATTGATTTTATACCATTGGCATTTTTTACGTTTTTTATTAGGGACTGGTCCAGACAACCTCTATCGACCTTTTTTTTATAACGTTGCTAAATAACAGCCCAATGAAAATGGTATGTTTGGGAATAAAAACAATCTTGCATATAATATTATTATATTACCAACTGAGATGGGGACGCCACCTAGGTGTATAACCCAAATATGAGGGAGTGTAGAATAGAGTGTGATGCATTGTGCTTTGTTCCTGATTGCGACCAACTGTTCAATTAGCCAGGACCATTTACAGTATTAATAAATGGGGTGTGTTGCTGGCCTAGTAGTTAGCGTCTCGAACTTCGGTACGGGAGGGATGGGTTCAATTCCTGACACATCCACAAAACCTTTATCGTAAAAGCATTTAGTCTAACTTTGACTTAAATTAAAATGCCACTGGCGTAGGAAAAAAAGACTGTTCAGGGACAGCTGGGTCCAGTTTCAAACCATAAAAAAATACTGAATTTTCTCAGGATCGAACTGGCGACCTAATAAAAAAAATCAGCTACCCAGAATCAGACCAGCGACCTTCAGATTTGAATGCAAACAACATAACTAATCTAAACCAAACTATTCAGACAATTTTTATTATCTTGCATTTGTAATTTAATCAATTAATAGTTTTAAATTGATGGTCTCATTTTCATTAAGCACAGTATATGCCACCTGCCGACCTATGCACAAAGCAGTTTATCCGACTTAAAACTATAAACTCTTCCAATTCAAAGTGTTATGTTTTAAATAAAAAATCAACTCTAAAATATTTAATGAATTGAAAAAGATTTTAAAAGCTTAAATATCCTTAACAAGTATTTTCCAGCTGAACACTTTTACACAATGTTACAACTTTCAGATATTTGAAGTGTGTGGAGGCAGAGTGTAAAGCGAGAGCAAGCATGGGTCTGAACGAGGACTCTGTGATTCACCTGAGCAAGCAGGCCAGCCACCACAACCACCCTGTGGTGTTAGAGCAAGAGTCACAGTTGGCAATGCTGTTAGAACCATCCCACATACCAGTCATCTTTACTGATGAAATTGGAAGGTGAGTGTGAATCAAACTTTACAATCTTTGCAATCAGTGAAAACTATCTTAAGCTTCTAAACAAGTAATTACAGCTTTTGGGGAAGACAGGATTGTTTTTTTGAAGATAATGAATTAATTTCTCATCTATAACACCACTTTATACAACATGTATAAAACTACTGAGGTTACTGAGGTTCTAAGGTTAGTTATAGTCAATTCAACTTAAATTCAACTTTTCTTAAAATCACAATTTGCAAACAGAAATTGTTTTAAAACTTAAAATAACAAAATGGCACATAGCGGAAGAAAAGTATTCTTTCAATCAATATCTTCACTGTACTTGATGTGATGATGTCATTTAAACATTCCGTCCCGTTGCAACAGATAAAAACTCACCAGTGTGAAACTAAAAACAATTTTCCAAAAGGAACTGAAGGAGGGCTTTTATAAAAGATGAATTTGATTTAGAAGATTATTCAGCATGATGCAACAATTGAATTAAGTTTCATATACAGTAGACTCACTCTTATCCGGACACCTTTTAACCGGACATCGGTTTAATCGGACTACACTCGGCGGAAATAACATCTCTCTAACCGGACAATTTTTATCAGCGCATTGGTTTAACCGGACTAGATCGGCATGAAGGGAAATGACTGTTCTTGTGGGAAAGATTTGATGCCAGTGATCACGTGCCTGAATACAATGCTCTCCTTAATTTAAGTCAAATATCACAGTAAACAGTCCGTTTTAACGAGTTTTTGGGGACGTCGGTTTAACCGGAAAACCCGTTATCCGGACTGGCCTCGGTCCCGAGGAGTCCGGATAAGAGGGAGTCTACTGTAAGATATTTCATTACTTGCCATTGAAGAAAAGGGGATTGTTTACTGTGAGATGAGTGTGTTGGTGATCATTTGTGTAAACGTGAAGTTTGAAAAAGGAACATGGTGCAATAGAAATATGCATCGTAATCATTGAAACTAAAAGTATAACAGATTCGGTACTTATGTAACGAGACACTGGTAAATGGTTTAAATGGTTTCAATCAGCCTACTTGGTTTCAATTTTTTAGTCATTTTGAAAGGGTGCATTTTACTGAAAGGATATTTTAGTACGGCAAAAGGTACATGTGTAATGTCTCGTGTAGTCATATAGAGTAGGTACTCATTACTCATGAGGTTTCACTGCCTCTGTGAAAATAATTAATAAATAATTATTATTGTGCGACAATAATTATGTTAAACTGTGAACATTCAATTGTCCATTGATGTGTAAATTTATACTTTATTTCAGCATCAAATTTGTAAAATGTGCATGACATAAAAGTGTTTTTTCACTTGACAGGGAGCAAGTTGCTATGTGTCACATTGTGAATGAAACTGTGGAACAACCCAAGCGACCGTACAAGCAGAGGACCAAGTCTCAACTGACGATCGATCCAGAGGTACAAATTATTTACACCAGTACTACTAAATTAGAAAAGTGAAGCCCGAAACTTGATGGGAAAAACTAAAAAACACTATATTATCTATTAGTTTGTGTTTGTATGGTATTTTTTTCTGAAAACTTTACTCAATATTTAGTTCTTATTTATTATATTTATTACTAAAATATACATATACTAACATAACATTTTACATTTTAGATTCAAAAACATTGTGCTTCCAACTATGAGCACACACATTTGTTACCCTTATATTAAGACATTTTTTGAGAGGATAGCAAGCTTACCTGAATGGGAAAGAGTCCAAACTGGCACAGGAAACAACAAAACTTTACACTATATACACTAAACATTAGAATATTTCACTGTCACTGACGGCATTTTCAAACACAGTGAAATATTCTAAATTTTAGTGTATATATAGTGTAAATTTTTGTTGTTTCCTGTGCGAGTTTCAGTTTGGACTCTTTCCCATTCAGGTAAACCAGCTTCCTCTCAATAAATCCTAAAAACCTAGGCCCTTGTAGAATGTTATATTAGTCGTTGTACGTGTGAGATTAAGTAAATGCACAAATCATTTGCAGGATCTTCCCCTGGATACGTCCGCACTGAGTGAGGTGGATGAGGCCGCAGGAGACTATGTAAGTTCGCTTTAAGTAGTAAAGTAGGGAATTGTAAAGATTAATGAAGAATGAATCATCAATTATTCAACCCTTACTTTTTCCATGTTCATACTCTTGGTCACAGTTTACTATCTAACTGATAACAGTGATTACTATCTTAAAGAATAACTGGTAATATTGGAATGAATATAAATTTGAAATACAAACTTCACCAATATTTTCAAAATTTTTAATTTTATGATGCCTTTTGCCAGCTATGCTGGCATCGTCAGACACATCAAAAAACTGAAGTTTATGTTTATGTTTAAAAAATCAATCATAAACACAATAAAACTCTTTTTGGTCATAGTTGTTGGCTCTCTTAACATTGAATGTTTCTGTGTAAGCCATTCTAGTAGTGAGAAGGTTGATCTTAGATGTTGTTCAAAAGGTGGCAGCCACTACAGCTGTCTACCCAACCGATTAAAACAACCCACAAATACTCCGTCCAATCGCAAAGGGTCGGTTTGAAACTCTGTTCTAACAACTTACTATATGTTCTAGTACCACAATGAAGACCAGCAAAAGTTCCCTCTGAAGCCATCAGAGGTGATTCCTGGACTACGGCCTGATGCTAATAATTATCACGATGGAAATGGATTCTACTATGAACTAAATCGCCATAGTCCCAATATAAGGTAGTGTTGATGAGTGTCAGCTAACTAAGATATTTTTTTTACAATCGTAATATGTCTATTAGTTATTCTTCACATCTGGTTTCATGTGATGTGTGAGTAGTCTTTTTGGTCCTTGGAAATATTTGTGTACTTGTTGTTTTAGAATCTTCAAAAGCTAAACATTCTTTCAAAATTAAATGTAAATATTATGTTTGTGCATGAACTCCATTAAAATGTTAATTATTTATGAAGTTGTAGACAAAAACGTTTTCATTTCACCACTGTCAAATAGTTTCGAGATTGTTCGTCAGTAAACCGTCTTTCCCGTTTCATTCAACAAACTTTCCAAATCTTGTTAGTTTGTCAACACATAATTTTGAACACAAGCAAACAAATATTTAGATAAAGCTACCAAGATGGTCTGGCGTAGTGGTGTTGTCCAGGGTCCTGAGACATGAATTTTGACATTTTTAATCATCTCTTTGAATGAGTTTTCAGACAATCCCAAGCTGATAGTTTTGTTTTCAGCCATGGCAATCTTACTTTTTTTAAATACTTTTAACTGAAATGGCGACCATACGAAAGTAGGTATTTTAAGCCAAGTATGCTTGAGATGAGTATAGGGTAAGTGGCACCATCTTATAGTCCTAGTCTTGTTCCTTAGACAGGACCTGTTAATTAGTAGTCCATACAGCCAATGGAAACTAAGGGACCTACAGTTTAAAGTGGAATCCAAACCACTTTTGCCTTGTAATTTACAAATTGGTCTATTGTCGGGACCACATAAGTTTGCAGTTGAGGGAGGAGCCTATTTACCATATGGTTTTCAATGAACCAATGAGAACGGTGTGGTGTTGCCAAATCTAACAATACCAGCTGATTTAAAAATATAGCTTTGTATATTTTTATTAGTGTTGTCAATGGGTGATGTGGCAACGTCGCACTAGCCTCGTCTTGTGATTGGCTGCCACCAACTGCAAACTTACGTGGTCCCGACAATAATTACCAGAATAGTAGGGTCTACTGCGGATAGTCAAAATACTCACTAGAGTGTAGGCTAATCCACACCAGGGAGTATCGCATCTACAGATCATGCCTATAAATATCCACAATTCGTGACCTTCAAGTAGCTGGATTACAAGAGGACGACTAGGTCCCAGACTGATAGTTGATGCAAGAAATACATCCTCTGCAATCTATTTGTATTTGTTTTAAATAGTTTGAATATAGAATCTAGTTAGAATATGAATCGATACCATCCAGGCATTGTCAGGTGTTTTTTTGTGTAGGTATCTGAAGTGTGTGAACAAAGACTGCAAGGCCAGAGCGTACATGGAGCTGCATAAGGAGAACGCACCCATCATCCAGACCAACTATGCCAGCCACAACCACGGACCGGACCTTAGCCGCAAACGGTTCACAGTGTTCCTACACCGCGTGACTAGACGTGCAGCCGAGGAGGACACTCCGATAAACACTATTTACCAACAGGAGGCTGACAGGTGAGACAAAGTCAATTATATCTTATAGATGATGAACTCTAGCGCTATGCTATTTATGCCATAAAGGCCAACAGTTTTCTATGATTTTTGCGCCATCATCATATAATTGGTAATTTAAGTCAAAATATGTGTACCAACTACCAACCCCAACATATTATGTATAATTTTTCATCAGAATAGAATTAAGAACATTTTAATACCTAAATTTGCACTAGTACTTCTTCTGCCTTTTTAGTCCTCACTATATTTAATTGTAGAAACTAAACTATTTTCTTAATTAGAACGTAAAGTACTTCTGTACTACTGTACTAAGTTCTGTATTATATTGGTCAATAATTATTCCTAGATATTTCAATTCTGTACATCTTTGAAACGAGTAGGATTCTACTGTCAGAGGAAGATGTGTTTGTGGTGGATTTTGTCCTACTATTAGATACTTGGTTTTATTTTAATTTATTGTTAAGTCTATTTCTTTTGCTTTCCTTATGAGAGTTCCAGCTAAAACTTTTAAATCACTTTCATTTTCTGCCATGAGCGTCATCAGGATGAGCTAGAATATTTATCTTTCTCTCTATCTCCAGTTTGCTTTATTACTGTATACAAAATATTGAAATCGGAATAGTAATTTTTTGATTTAGTACTATTTTAGTGACAGGCTACAAAATGGGTTTTGAGCACGGTATTAACACTTACAAAACTGATCTTAAGATTTGTGATCATGACACTTACACATCTTGGGTTCATTTTCAATCAGGAAGGTTAATATTTATTAAGTTTTTTACAGTGATAATTTTTTTATTGCAGAGATCCAGTTTCGGCCAGCCAAATAAGGATGAAGAATGTCAAATTGAGAATGACGCGGTATAGGAATAAGCATAGGCAGAATAAAACTACAAACGTAAGTAAATTATTTATCAGTTAAACATTTTTAAGGCTCTATTAAGGTTTAGAAAGTACTCAAAACTCGGTACAAGACAAGCTAAATTTTCACAATGTTTAGTATTACCCTCCTTGTTAATACAGTACTGTATATTAATACAGTAGACTCCCTCTTATCCGGACTCCTAGGGACCGAGGCCAGTCCGGATAACGGGTTTTCCGGTTAAACCAACGTCCCAAAAAACTTGTTATGTAACCCAAATATTTGACTTAGGAGAGCATTGTATTTAGACACGTGATCACTGGTCTCAAATCTTTCCCACGAGAACAGTCGTTTCAGTACAGCCCACTTCCTGCCGATCTAGTTCAGTTAAACCAACATGCAGATAAGAATTGTCCCGTTAAAGAGATGTCATTTCCGCCGAGTGTAGTCGGGTTAAACCGATGTCTGATTAAACCGATGTCCGGGTAAAAGGTGTCCGGATAAGAGGGAGTCTACTGTATCTACAGTGAGAGTACAAAGCTTATTTACAATTCTTATCGATGGAGGGCTATTATTTTGTTATGTCTGTAGGAAGAGATTCAAATTTAAAAGATTTTATGTTACATTTTTTGTTCAACTTAAAAGTCATCTTGTAACAAATTTAATTTGTCAATTAAAGTTTACAAGACAAGCGATGCAGTGTCAAAATTATTGGTTAGGTGACCGTATGTTTTAGTATTTGCATTCGCTCTTGACTAAACATATCAAATATAGTTTGCAGATTTCTTCATTTTTTGTTCTGTTTTCAGGCGGACGATTCAACAGTCGCGGAAACGGACATGGACCAATCGGATATATCAGTCTATCGCTATTTCACAGAAAACCAGAAACCCGAGTTAAAAATGGAAGAGAAAGACAATGAGATGGAGGACGGAGAGGAAGAATTGTACGAAAGCTATGTGGTCAATGAGGTAGAGGTGGAGTCTCAACAAAACAGCTGATTGAAGAGAAGAAGAAGGAAATTGGAAGGAGGGAGAAAGTCGAGCCGTTAGTGAGGTCGGACCTGACCACAGGTGGTGCGGAATCCCCTTCTACCAAAAACGTAGCATCCAAACAGTACTTACTAACAAGAATCTCAATGTATAGTTGTATTATAGGCCTATACGTTCCCTTTTTTCTTATTTGATTACTGACGTAAAATTCACAGACTTCTAAAATTTTTTGTATTTTACTCCAAGAGGTGTGGGCCCTGTGTGGCCTGTTCTATTCTAACATCGGAAGAGCTGATTTTCTTGTACCTTTTGAAGGCCAAATCTGTTGACTAAATACTGTGTTTATGTTGGTTCTCTAAAACATTTTAATCTACTAAAACACCTAAAACATATTTTTTGATTGCCAATTTAGAGAATTAATTCTGAACTTGTTATAAATGTAATGTATTCATAATCAGTTTTGGAAATTGATTATTTATACCAGTATATCTTTTTTTTTTTGTCAAAGAGTACGGGGGAACAAAATTGTTAATTACACCAGAATAAGTTGTCGTACAAACTATTCACAATCAAAGAGTTCAAAATGCTCATAACATGTTGAACTTAGATTTAGATCTATAATTTAAGTGTGAAAATAAATAAGTCCCGTTATATTTAGCATACATAGCAATGCACAAAACATGTTGGTAAACACTTGAGGGCTAAATAAATTATTACTACATTAACATTTCTATACTCTGTTCACAAAATTTAAGCGGTTTGAGGGGAAGTTTCCCCACCACTTGTAGCAGCTGATTGACGTTTTTGGCAAACATCAGCTGTTGAACTGTTATTTTAATGGTAGGATGTTCAAGAATTCACTTTTAGTTCTCTTGTTTTTGTAAACTTAGTTTATGCCTACCACTTTGTTTGCGATGATGGTTTATTCGCTTATAGAACAGAGGTGTATTTATACATGTAAAATATAAATAATGAAAATTTATATTTATTATTTGTACAACTTTCAACAATATTGTATTGATAATTTTGTAATGTTTTTTTTAATGAATTATGTCATCACCTTAAGTAGCATCGTGTAAGTTAAAGTAAAAATATTTTTAGACTTTGAATATATAGAATTAGAAGGAACTTTATGTCTGTAATTTACATAAACAATAAAAATATTTTTAAAAATCTAACGTTTTGAAACTTATTTGGACATTTTAAGTAAAACAGTGTTTATTGTTTTTGTTTAACCCTCCGAGCGTCACTCGTCGAAAAATCGACTCACGACACACTTTGTGTAGTGTCACGCGTCGATTTTTCGACACACGAACATCGTTTACGGCGAAGGCTCTATGACTGACTGAATCGGATTGAACTGGATCGAGTTAGGTATCGTTCTTTTCGTTAGATTCTAAGCTTTCTCCAGAGGTCTGTCTCTAAGCGCTTTATGTTCTCCGAGCCGATCGTAATTGTAGCAGACAGCTGACGTTCTAGAAGATGATATTAGTGATGTTGAAGGACTTATTGACGATCCGGTTGAAGTTGGTAGTGACATTGATGTTAATTATCAGCCAGATTCCTAGCTATGGTTAGGCTATGCATTCTTAGCTAAACGCTATGTTCTGAAATCTGTTTTTTGCCCATAACTTATTTATTTGCAAATCTACTTCCTTATATTATTATATATTTGTAATCCTCATAAAATTTAGAACAAAGTGGAATTTATACAATTTCATTGAGCGCAAACTTATTTTTTTTTCAATTTTTCCAAAATAATTCTTTTTTTACCTAAAAATGTTTTTTGAAACAAATATTCCTTATGTTTTATGTATGATATTGAAGCCCATGATTTTCCAAACAAAATGGTATATAGAACAGTAGAATTAACATTGTTTTAAGCTTCTCAGATCCGTTTTAATAAAACCTTGCAAATGCGCCAAAAATAGGTGGACATTAAGGCCTAAACTATAGACACTCGGAGGGTTAAAAAATTGACAGGAAAACAGGCTAACCTTTGAATAAGTAATAGAAACACATAAAGATCACAGAAGTGTGGTCAAAAATTATTGTACACTGTATTTTCAAGCATCTGATTTAATTAAATGTTCTTTTCTTTGTTTATTATGGATGAAAAACAAACAAATGAGTGTTCAATTTAAGTTACAGTACTACACTTTTACATTATGAATCTTCTCAAAACTAAATAAAGAAATGTTCTTAAAGTTGGTGTTTATAATAATGAAGGAACACGAACATTTCTACTTCTTTGATGTGTATGTGTCTCTATTGACTTTTAAAGGTACGCCTTCTTTCCTATCAGTTTCCTAAACAATTCCTGTGAAATGTCCAATCTTTAATCAGATAACCTTAAAATGTTTAACTTATTGTTATTTTTTCTATATTTAGTGCCCACTTCAATCTAGGAACCCACTTCACTCTAGTAGATATCATGAAAATAGTGATGTGTTCGAACTGAATCTCTAATACTCTGAACCTTGTAACTTTCTCAGTTTTTATCTTGTTCTTGTTCCTGCATTAAGACCTTTTTCCTGTTTTTCAGGACTCTTTAATTGACTGAACACTTGCAGAAGTCTATATAATTTTTTTTATCTCAGAACTATTTACAAAAATACATACAGTGATCCAGTATTCTGTTTCGTAGAGGCCCTCCTGCTCCACTAAGAGTGACAGGAAAGTCAAGTAAGTCAATTTATTTGTTTTTCGTGGTAGTATTTGACCAAATATCAGTAAGAATTAAACAAATCAACGAACGTGATAAAACAAGTAGGCCTAGTGTGCAACATGCCTGAACTAATGCAAGTTTTGAATATTATTTTTTTAAACTAAAACTTTGAATGTTCTTTTAGGAAGTTGGTCCTTCTCATATTGGTTAAGTTGATACAATCAGCCAATTCTCTTAAAATAAATATTCTTGTCTGATACGTTTTTCCAAAATTAGCATCTAGGCCTAGTCTTTAAAACTTCATAGAAGTAGGCATGTTTGATTAGATCTTTCAAACTCTTTATTGGAGTTTTTCATCTTCTTCAATTTTTTTTAATTAAATGGTTTATTGTCGTAAAACCGGTTAGTTCATTTTTTTTAATTTTTACTATCATATTAAGATTTTTTTTTTAATTTGTATTTTGACTTTGTTCGCCTTTGTGTCTTGCCTTTGGTTTGCTATGAGAAACTTAAATACTTATAAGAAAATTCCAAATAAAGATTCATTGGCAAATAATGGACGATAGACAGTTTAGGTACCGAGAGTTGTATCTAGATATTCCTTCCAACTTATTTTCCCAAACAAGGTATTTAGCTTTTAGGTAATATAATTGAATATATAACGTTCATAGTGTAATATATTCAATAATACAGAGATCTGGGTATTAAAATAACAACCAAATTCAATGAGGAATCATCATACATTTTTTTATTAAAACACTGAAACTTGTCAATGTTAAAGTTTGTTACAAAATTACAAAACTGTCCACATAAAATACTGTATCGGGAATACAACTAACATTGGTAAAAAAATACTAGGAGAGAATATCTAAAATTATAAAAATAATCGGTGTATGATCAAAAACATTTTTAAGGCTTAACTGTTTGTGTTGTTTGGCTCATCTAAGTCACTTAAAAATCTCTTAGTTGAATACATTCTTCTTGCTCATGCTTGAGAAATTTGCTAAGTAATCATACACCGTTTATTATTTCATGATTAAATTTTCAAGACATATCTTTCATATTGTCATAAAGAATTTTGACAGAAGTTTAAAGTTTTTACTAAACAAGACGTAAATAATTTAGTAATATATTTCATATGTTAATGGTTGCTTGATCCAATCTTTAATATTTAATTTTGTTTATATTAGTTGTTCTAAGTCTTTAAATTAAATAATAAATATCCTATGTAAAACTATAGCATTGCATTTTTAACAATATCCTTTCTTCTTGGCATAACTTCAATAATTCTTATTAATGACTCTTTCCTCAAGTTCTATGCTACATTTAAGTATAGTTTAAGTACAATATGCTAACAATACTGTAGTACACTTTGTTCAGTGTAGTAAATGATTTTTGGGGAACATTTCTTGTATAAAGAATGTAAAGTTTTTATTCGACTCAATAATTTTTGAAAAATTTTGAATTTGTTCTTAAGGTTATAATAATAACACTTTTAAGAAACCAGCGATGCGGAAATCTACCTGCTCGTTTGGCAAAACTTTTGGATTCTTTTTTAATTCCCTCCCTTGTATAAATATAATTCTAGAATGTTAGTGACCTGGCCCCCTTTGAGTTCTAATAAGTCTAGACCCGTTAGTTGCTTCTAGAACACCTTAATGATATATATTATACAAGGCGGCCGACCAGCACGGAGTCTAAAAGATTGCAGTGACTTTGCGCAAAGAAAGTTGCAAACGTTAACAGTGAGTGAATCTAGGATGTTAGTGAAGTTGTGATAAGGAGAAGTTACCGGTGAAAAATTAAACAACAAAAAAACAATTTTCAACAGGAAATTTTCCCCAAAAATCCAAATTGAACTAATAACTCTATAATCGTACAAAATCTAATATTACAAATTGTCTATTATGTACAATGTTCGTATACAATAAAACTATCTACTGTAATAAATATGTTAGATTAAGATAGACTGCAACTAAGAGGCATTGATATGCCAAAAGGAACTTAAGTGTAGTAACTTGAGAGATTATGAAGAGGACTTTGTAAGCCCCGGACTGGTGGAGACGCCTAAAACTCAAACTAAAGTAAATTGGAACTAGTCGCAAAGTATACAAATTAAATACCTATTCTATCTTTGGAAAAATTGCAAAAGGTAAAGATTTTCAATTTGTTTACACACACGTAAACACCACAAAACTGTCGTACTTTCAATATTTGTAAACTAAAAAATCACTGTTACCTAATTTTACAGTTACATAGTTGAAACATGTTTGAAATGCTGTGTGAAATAGTACTTTGGGTAGTTTGTTTGTTAGGCATCTGTCACAGTCGAGGTGTAGGTGGGGGTTATGAAGGTGACGGTGCTGCAGTAGGAGGTTCCGTATCCGCTTCGGCGGGGTTGGCGTCGACACGGCATCGATAAACATAGGCAGAGACACTGAGGTCGTCATCGGTTCTCAAACAGACTTTGTTCTTGGGGCAAACACACCTGAAGTAAAGGAAAACATATATTAGTCAAGAGTTAAAATACACATGGGCAAACCAGTATCAGGCCTTCTACGAACAAGTTTCTTGTAAAACACTTCAAAGTAGCTGTCATAGAGTCAAATTAAAAAAAAAAAACATACTTATTTGTCGCTACAATGGCTAAAACCTTAGGGAGTTAAATTTCAAATTTAGTTTTTCTCAGAGATGCCATGACCCCATGGTGTCAATAATAAGTAATAATCTAAAATTTTTGAACTTAAATTGGCAGAATAACTGTATTGTACAAGTTTCTATTTTCAAGAGGTAAATCTTTTCTTCTCATCAAATAGGTTAAGTTTCTTTATCACCAATAGCTCATTGTTGTATATTCTGCCACTAACTTGACCTTTCCCGATTTTGTATAATATATTGTTCAATATATAAGCCACCGCCTTCTAAATCACAGGATCAATCAAAAGTACCCCCACATGAAAACCGTAAAATATTCAACTTAAAATTTTTTCAACAACTGATTTACTTTACGTTCATCACTATGAACTCAACAAAGTAAAACTTACGTATTTTTCATGAAGTAGTCGACAGTCCTTGTGAACGGTATGTATACAGCCCATCCACAGGGTGTCCTGCTATGGCAGATCTTCGCACCTCCAGCCATGTTGTTAGACGCACTAGATAGGGACTCCGCTGATACAGCTCTCTGCAAACATATCAAGTATTTAGTACAAAATGTCACTGTAATACTCTATTACTGTGATTACATTTGTAATAATAGTCCAAACTAGAGATGAGGACGAGAAAGTTTTATCTGGATTACGCCATCTATTATTTTTATCCAACTGTTTGCAATGCCAATATGACGTGAAGTGAAGCAAGATAAGGAATAACAGATGTTACTTGAAGGGTCAACTTATGCAATCACATGACCTTCTAACTCGACCTCCTGCCAAAAATAATTTGCATTCTCGAATCAGCCGATTCACATCTGGCCGGGATTGAATGGGAGAAAGTTACGTCAGCCAAAACTGTCGTCTGTCACAGTCGCAATGATTGTTACATTATTTTTCAGATATTCGCTAGTACCGTGATAAACACCTTGCTCGCTAAACATCCAAAATATACAGGGTGTTTTTTTAAAAACTTGCATCTTTATTTATGTAAAAACCGCAATAGATAGAAATATGCAGTTTGCGGGAATCATCTATTGACGTAGGGGGACCAATTGTTTTGAATTCAACGTTACATTCACATTCCCCCCCTTTCCCCCCCTGCCCCCAACTTAATTTTTTTAAATAGCAAGGTACCCCTTGTGACATATCAAATAAAAGAGCATGAAAAAAGAAAATTTTTGATGAAAAAAAATTGAAAATCGGTTCATAAATTTGTGAGATATTTCCCCCCTCACCCCCCCGGAACTTAATTTTTTTTTAATAGCAAAGTACCCCTTGTGACATATCAAATGAAAGAGCATGAAAAAAGAAAAATTTTGGTGAAATTTATTTTTCATTTGATATGTCACAAGGGCGGGTACCTTGCTATTAAAAAACAAGTTATGGGTAGGGGAAAAGGGGGGTGATTATCTCACAAATTCATGAGCCGATTTTAAATTTTTTTTCACCAAAAATTTTCTTTTTTCATGCTCTTTCATTTGATATGTCACAAGGGGTACTTTGCTATAAAAAAAAATTAAGTTCCGGGGGGGTGAGGGGGGGAATATCTCACAAATTTATGAACCGATTTTCAATTTTTTTTCATCAAACATTTTCTTTTTTTATGCTCTTTTATTTGATATGTCACAAGGGGTACCTTGCTATTTAAAAAAAATAAGTTGGTGGCAGGGGGGGAAAGGGGGGGAATGTGAATGTAACGTTGAATTCAAAACAATTGGTCCCCCTACGTCAATAGATGATTCCCGCAAACTGCATATGTCTTTCTATTGCGGTTTTTACATAAATAAAGATGCAAGTTTTTAAAAAAACACCCTGTATTTGAATGCAATAACTGATATAACATTTAAATGTTTTACATCTTAGTATTTCGTTTTAAAACATTAAATAGTAATTATTCCCAAAATCTATAAAATCCCACATTTTTCCTGTTTTGTTACTTAATTAAAAACAATCACCTTCAAGATTATTATTATTTTTAATGAATAAATGAAACATGTTTTATTTCAGTCACAAAATTAAATAAATAAATATACAAAATTTCATTTAAATCCACAAATGGGCTAGTGTATGTGGTTAATGAAAATAAGCAACACCTAACATATTTCCTTACGAAATTTCCTATTTACTTTTTAAGCTCAAATCTATTTTACAAATTCAGAACAAACAAACTAGGGTAGGTAAACAGAGTAACTTAGTCTTATGTTTAACCTTTAACTATCCAATAGTCAATGATTTAACCCAATAGACTAGTCCCCCTATGGTGAGATGGTCCTGAACTTCTATTATCTTGGATTCAAATTTTTACATTTGATAGGAAGCCTACTCTGTGTGGGTCAATGCTAGGGTAAAGAGTATACACAAATTAACATGTTTTTTTCATAGCAATGTCTACTTATTTTTTCGTATTTTCCAAATTATCCTAGTCTTATTCAGCATATTTTGATAATAAATCATTTAACCCGTAAAACGTGACAAGAACGATTTGTCCGGAATGTACCAAACCAAACCGGTCTGACTCGTCGGTCCTGCGCAGTTCGCACACTGCAACCTGTCGGGCCTCGAGACACTTTTCAAAATATTTCCTTCATCAAATCGTAGTCGTGGAATCGTGTAAATAAAAAGCCAACTGAAAAACCGAAACCTAAATGATAAAATAGTTGCGTAAATGTAGTACGTGCCGTCGGAAGTCGGGAGATTTATCTCGAGAGGTCAAAACCCAAGGTTACAACTACTACGCAGCAGCCGCTGGTCCATTCAACCTGTGCCGCCGCAGTCAGGGGCATCATGAATGACAAATGTTTCAACTGTTGTGAGAGGGTGAAGAATTTTTCTGTCTGTTAATTTAAACGTAAAATAATGACCAACTTCAGTATCCAATAAGCAATGTCACCTTACAATTTAGAATTTATACACACTCTACATTCTTTATGTAGGCCTACAACCGTGCAAGGGCGGATCAAGACAATTTGGGGGCTCTGGGGAGGAACACCGGGGGACTTTGGGGACTTTAGGGATATGGAATACGGACCAAAAGTATTTTAATTGCCCATCGAATATGTTTTGAAGCATCTGACAAAATCGGATGACATTCGCAATGTGCAATGTGAAATGTTATTAGTTAGGATTTAGGATTAGTATAGTTACTTTTAGAATTTAGGAAGGGAGAGGTAGGTTATTTCACCCCAATTGGATTCACTACTGAGATGTAGATTTTGGTGACAAAAAGCTATAAAATATTTGCTTTCAAATTTAGGAAGATACCGTACGTCTACCAAAATGTTTTATCGACATAGCTCTCAATGTTATACCCCTATCATCAATGTCTTATGCATCTATTGGTGTCAATATTGTCTACCCTGAATTAATTAATCGTTCATCCCAAATACTTGTGTACCGTAAAGCAAAATAGAATGTCTGTTATTTTGTGGACTTCACTCACATTTCTTTTGTCTGGTGATATCTTGGACGCGTAAGACACGATCAAAACACACCCTGGAAAATCAAATTCGACGCTCTTTAGAGTCGGTGTTTTTTACAGACAAAAATAAAGGCGAATGAAGACGTACTAACAGCACGTAATTTAAAAATAGATTCAACATCTACAACACATTGTGAAATATCACATGGACGTGTTAATGATGCAATAAACACACAACGTGATGCTAGATTAAGCCTAATTACATATCTGGAGTGTGTTAGTGTCAGTGCTCCCTTCCTACAGGGTTATCCGATAGATACAAGTTCTCGGATACGCCAGTGCGTCACGGGTTGGACCAGTCATTGTTGTTAATTATTTTAATCATAGCTACGAAATTTAATCATTTTAGGATATTGGATAGGAGGTAACGTTTCGATTAGGTTAATTGAATTTAAAAATTTCAAACCCGTTTTTGACCCCCTTAAAAAATTGGAAATTTTGGAAATCTCTCATTTACATGGTAAAAAATGCATTTACCAACAGTGGATACCTATGCAGGAGCCACGAAATTTCTTACAACTTTTGGGATCTTGTTCGTCGTAAAAAAGTTGACTTTAGTTGTAAAGAGTCTGTACTCTATAAACCTTTGGTTTTCAGTTTAACTTTTGCCTATCCCTTTTTATTGAACCATTGACTTTTGGATACTGAAGTATATACATCCTATAAGGACCAGCTGTCATCAATTTTGGTTAAAAAAGGGACATGGTTTTGTGAGTCACTCGCAGAATGTGTTAATGGTCACTCGCAGAATGTGTTAATATCTAATAATATTTCCTACATTACTTTTTATTACTGATATAGTTGATGTATCTTAGGTGCTAAAAGCTTGCAAAAAGTCGTCCTATCCCATTAGTTTGACTTGGTCGAAATTCCGCATATTCTGCAGAAATCTGTTAGTTACATCCCAAAAATGTACGAGGCTTGCTCAGTTCTACCAATAGTCAAAGATTGAACAACTAAAAAAGATTGAGTACCAACATAACAGGTATGTGACAAAATGTACATCTGACCTAACCTGGAAAGAAGGTGAAAGAGAAAATTCCGCCAGAGAGGGTAAACATTCGTCATTCTCTACTTCATATCTGAATGATATCGAACGATCTTGATATTTTTCTTGGATAATTGTATACCCCTAAGCGGCTAACGCAACGATTGCATATAAGTCAAAATTAAGGTCCCGTCAATATTTCCGCCACAACGTACCCTCGATAGTGTATTCTACACAGGGAATCGGGTGGTCAGCTGGATAGGTCAGCCACTTGTCTTTTACCGTTAGCCATTACTGCATGTAATGGTACCGCATAGAGGTAATGGTGTAGTCTAAGGCCGCTCAAATGGATGTAAGGTCGCCAATCGTTGAGTTCCGCTTCGCGAGGCCGGTATTGAGATGAACCGAACCGCCTCACTATAGTGTGTTCAAATAAAGAAGGTGGTCAGGGATGAGGCATGTCATGTGGCCAATGAATACACACCTTGCTCATTGGCAGTAGGTAGGTCACATCATCGACCGCCTTCGATATTTGAACAAAGTATATTGTACCAGTCAAAGATTGTACCTATGAGTAGTGTACCTAGTGGCCTTACTCCGATACTATAGTTTGTTCAAGTAACGAAGGCGGTCAGGGATCAGGGCCTTTTTCATTGACAGTAGGTAAAACCCATCCCCAATCACCTTCGATGTATGAATAAACTATGCCCAGTCGACTTCCTCCGATACGTTCAATTCAATTCTTTCTTTAGGACAGCGATCGCACACTAAGGTGCATTAAAGCTGGCTATGAATGAAGGGGTAGAGAAGAATGGAGTGAGATGACCTGTGTAGTTTACGCATATGAATACCCTACATAGCACGGCACGGCTTCAATGTCACTATAGTCTATACATGAAGGAACTAGTCTTCTGACCTACCAATCCATTGCCTAGTCCCCAGGTAGACGAAGAATCAGGAGACAGGTTCCATCATACAGACTATACAGGGTGAATAAAAAGTCAAGCCCCCCTCTCTAATATTTTTCTAAGTAAATATACAGAGATATCCTTTTGGTGGTCGTGCAATCTTAGTAGGAAGTTGCATTTAATGATTTTAACATTTTTGAGTGTCCCCCAAAAAGGGAGGCTTTCGGGGGCAACTCAACAATTTTAAATGTAAACCCCCTTCAACTGACACCTCATTTTGAAGTGTTAACAAAAACTTTAAGAATGGTGAAAACCAGAGTTCGCTGTCCAAAATGGTAGCCAATATTACCATTACGAACCAATATACCATTGATTTTCCACAACATTTGACGGCCTACCATTTTGGAAAGAGAAGAGATAGCGAGCTCTAGTTTTCACCATTCTTTACCTTTTCGTAAACACTTCAAAATGAGGTGTCACTTGAAGGGGGTTTACATTTAAAATATTTGAGTTGCCCCCCAAATCCCCTCTTTTGGGAGGACACTCAAAATTTCAAAATCATAAAATGAAACTTCTAAGATTGCACGACCACCAAAAGGATATCTCTGTAGCCTATATTTACTTAGAAAAATATTAGAGGGGGGTGTCTTGACTTTTTATTCACCCTGAACATGTACAATTCAGTTATGTCCATTATGTCAACTCAAGTATTTAAGATGTCGCGTCTTGGGTTTTAAGTTGCAAGATAAACCAGACTTGATGCATTTTATGTTATTGTACATGTAATGACCCGTCAATATATACGAATAGAGGGGTCTATTATAATAAATTAAATTTACTTCCTCCTCAACCTCGTGTTTTTACCTATTCGCAGCAAGTGAAAACTTTTAGACAAGAAAAAGTTCCAGAGAAAATTTTTTGTGTGATTGTTCTTCGAAGTATCCTGCTTTCCCTTAGTTATTGGACCTCTGAGAAATGGAAGTTTCCAATTACCGTCACAATTTGTCTGGTTTTAGCCAAATTTAAAAAAACGGAGTTTTGTTTGTATCGAACGATTGACTACTGTAAAAAAACCTATTGGTTAGGTAAATGAAATAGGAGGATGAATTATTTATCTAAGGATCGTAAAGAGGGGTTCCTCAGACGCAGCTAGTGTATTCAGGGGGAAGGTTGTAGGAAACCCCCTAGACTCCGGTGAAACCCCTTAAAAGGGGGGTTTCAAAAACCTCCCTTTGTAACTAGAGTGTATGCTCATACGCAAACTAGACATATTAGTCCACGATATATCTACCGGCTAGGGGTGGTAGAATCTTATCCAACCATAATCAGCTGTCGGTGTGAGAGAGAGAGAACCCCCGTGACGTGTGCATGACGTAGACAGAGTTAGTTACTACGAGACTACGGACACGTACTCCACCTAATGAATGAAATGATTGGAGCGTTCTGATTGGCTGAGCGGGTGGCGTGATCTCACTCATCTCCCAACCCTTCCTTCTCTCTCTCTCTCTCTCCCTCTCTCACTCTCTCTCTCTCTCTCTCTCTCTCCCTCTCTCTCACACACACACACATACACACTGATAGGAAATGGGACACTTCAATCCGGCAATCAGTGATCGTAATTTTAGGTTCAGAGGAATCCCGGGTTTATATTTCAGCGTAAATTACTACTGAGCATACAAATTGAATAATTTTCTTGTAAAAATCCTATTTTAGTTTTGGAATCGCTTATAAACTTGAACGAGTTTTAAATGCAATATTTTTCGATATTGACTAAATTAGGTGTTATTAGAGGAGGATGTGTGGATGCAGCCTAGCATTCACATAAAGTGTAAGCCATTTATGGTGATTTGGATACTTAAATTCCTCAATAAGTGAAGGACACAGGTAACTAGGGTTAACCTTGTACAGGTACACTGATAGCTCGAGAGAGAATATTGCATCAGCTGACCGCTCTACTTCACGAACTGAGTGGGTCTACTTAGCCGTAAAATAATCGTATAGCTTAAATAGTACATATTCAAATTATAAATACTGTATAATTAAAAGCTTCTTTTGTACTTGACCCTATTGGGATGAATCGGGATAATTTCCTATCAAAAATAAAGTTAGGTTTAACGCTATATTTTAATTATAGGCCTATTTCTTGGTTACATTATTCGTTTTTGTACAAGTTTCTGTTTATCTCTTTTCATAAACTAAATTAGGCTACTTATCTCATAAACTTATTTTTTTCTTACGTACTAAATCGACTTCCCAAAAAGTTTCGAAAAAATCTTGAAGTAGGCAAAGCTAAAATTGTACGACTTAAACTGTACGATTCATACATCAACTAATACGGTAATCGTTTACAAAATTAAAAAAATGATCCTATTTAATTAGATTGTAAACAAGTGAAATTTGAGAATGGAATTTTAAAATTATAATAATTCACAGCTGATCAAGAAGCTATATAATAATTCTGAATAATGTTTAAATGCGGAGGTATTTGTGAATGAATGAAGCAAGCAGGTGTGGATTGAATGAGACCCACCCACATTCAACAGAACCACGTGGTCTACTGTACACCACGTGGCTGACGCAACGATACGAACACCTTACGTACAATCGAGAACTCCTTATAAGTATTAGTTCTATTTCTAATCCACAACAGACAAATTTTCACAAATAAGGTGTATAGAATTCACGTAATTTTAAAATAGGCACAAATCAAAGGTTGAAGGAATCAAAACGTAGTCGAAACGTTCGGAAACTGTCCAAATTAAATCTCTAATAATTCTTCAATGTTTTCAACGACGGTTTGTAAACAAATTTCTCGTAGATAAGAATGACGCACAAGAAAACGCGTAGGAAGATTATTACGAAAATATATCTAGTGCAAACATTATTGTGATGAAACAGTTTGGATGAGTTTCTGTTAATGTGTTACAGATGTTGGGTTTTAATTGCTTAAACAAGTATTTGGGCGTAATTAGTTTGATTACTGTTAATAAATTGAAGGCAATTTATTTGGTATACCGACTTAAAAAATACAGAAAATACTAATTCATCTACCACCATACATCTTGTGATAAATAACCTTAGTATTTAGGAATATAATTTTATTTTAGATTAGTTAAATTAAAAATTTTACAATACACTCGCAATAACCTACATTCTCAACAATTTCGTTTCATAGGTCTACAACAAATATCAAAATCACATTCTTCTACAAATTTGACTAAAAAAAATACCGTAATTGATTAGCAAAATTGTCCACTTATTCAATTAATGAAATATAAAATTTAAGTTTATAATGGTAGTTTTAATTATTTATACACACTAGTTTTCAACACGCTTCCAAACAGACTAGATAATGCAATTGGCACGATTAAATGCATAAAGTGGTTTATTTCGTGTTAAACTTAACGAATCAGTAAGACGAAAATTGCTGCAAAATTACTTCGTAGTCTACCACAATCAAAATGTGTATTTTGTACCCTCTATGCAACCTATAGCAAATTACTAAAAAATAATTAAATTAATGACGATCTACTCTAGTGATTTTTTTATTTACCTTGGCAACCTGCGACACCTGCACCGACGCTGTAGACACTACGGCGATATAAAGGGCGACGAGGAGGACCACCCTCCGACAACATACGTTGAACTCCATGGCACTGATAAAGTGATCTCTGATGCACTGTGTGATCTGCTATACTGACGGCCCGTCGTCACCGGGCAGTTATATAGGGAGAGTAGCCGGGGAGGGAGGGGGCGACTAGCCCTAGACGGACTGGCACCTCCCCCCTCCACACCACTTCATTAATAAGGTGTAGTGTAAATATCCCTCCCCTCTACAGCACTTCCCGCCAAACACCGCTCGTGCCACGAGATTTGGCGGGCTTGAGGATGTTTTTCCGTTATTTCTTTTTGTATGATACAACAGATGTATACAGTAGAGACTATCGTAGACAGTTATCAAGATTGACTTATTATCGAGGTTTGCAATGACTATGTGTAAAATAAATTCTAGGAGATTTTAAAACTGTCATCGAGGGTCTTGTTTATGAGGTTACACTAGATTGTTTTAGCAGAAGATTTTCCAAGTTTTTATTGCCTGGTTTTACCTATCTGGGAATATTGGGTATTCGATGCGCGCTTGGGCCATGGTGGGATTTTCATTCAATCACCCCTAGCTAGGGAGTCTATGTGATTCAATCACTGTATTTACGTAACCTTTCAATTCGAAGTGAGGTTATGTTTCCAACTTTAAACTGGATTTTAAAATAACTAAAACATTTGAACCTGAAAACACACAGCGGTGTCAAGGAAAAGGTCCCACTCCGTGTATTGTGTAGCAACGTTTACATTGTTTGAAGTGAACACATAAAAACGTGAACGTATTATTGATTATATTGAGTGTGTATTTTTAGTAAAAGGAACTAAACAAATTTATGGTTGGAAGGATAAGGAAGATAAATAAAATAATTTGTGAATCAAAATTTATAAACAAATGCTCAGCAGTCATTACAACAGAACGAAATAGAAAGCTTTCCTTAGTTAAAGACATATTTCCCCAATTATAAATAACTCCAAAAAACTCTTCATAGGCTTAAATAATTCGTCAAAGTATTGACTTTTATTTTAGCTATGGGTTACTTATTGGGAGTTATTTTGAATTGAGGATATATGTCTTTAACTAACGACAAATTGAAAAAAATTAATGTTAAATGAAGGTTCGTTCCTTTTTTTAAAGTTCTCAGTCTCAGATTTTATTTAGTGATTTAAACCAAACACTTACTGAGTAAATTGAGACCAGAAATAACTTGGTGACGTATTAACAACCCAAGATATAAATCTTTTTATAAAAACTGATTTCTATAAAGTTAAATTTAATATTCTGTTTTGGTTCGTAGCTCGTCTCTAACTCGTCCGATTTTAATGATCAATAGCTTGAATGAAAGCCCTTAAATAACTGAATATTTTAAGGCTAGAACGAACTGTAACCGTCAATAAGAACTGAGGATATAAGAAAAATAATCTTAAGTAATGTTTAAAGTACGAAACGTCCATGAGAAATGTATAGGGGAGAGCTTTTGTTTAAATATATCTTTCAAACTAACAAAGATATAAAAAAAAACGGATTTGGCATTTAAATCAGCGTAAAAATCTAGTTTATAATGTCATAAAAATATCATTACGTTTGAAATTTTTTATTTATATCCAATATGACAGATCCTAGATTATGTCCAAAAATGTGTTCCCTATTAAAATGACGTACATACTACCCAATAAATATCGGCGGTGGTACCAAATCAATTTCTCTAAAAATGTGTATAAAAAATGTATGTGTTATATTTTTTTCCAATTATTTCCAATGTTTTGGGAATAGCCGCTATTTTTTATTGTGATTTTAGGGGGTTTTCCGTGGACAGATTGTTGACAACTTTTAGTATGTCACTCTGCACACCCAACACTACAAAATAAAACCATAAAACGTTTTCTTGCAATTTTTTAAAGGTCATATCCTATATTTATCTGACTAAAATATTAATAAAAAACTATTGATTGGTTAAGCTGAAATAAACAAAACAGAATACAGTAATACATAATACATTGAAAGAATAAGAAACAAATAAGTACAGCTGGGGTACTTTTAACATTAAGTCACTTATCAATGATCAATTATCAATCATTGAGATGGGGACGCCACCTAGGTGCGTATTTTAACCCAAATACGAGTGAAGGATTAGTGTAGAATGAAGTGTGATGTCTTTTGTAGCTTTGTTACTGACTAAGATCATTGGTTCCATTAGTCAGGATCATTTATTTAAAGCCCAATGATCAGGAACATCTAGGTATATGGAAAGTTCCCTTTCGAAAGGAATTACGACCTTAAAGGGCAATTTATGAAATAATAGATAGTTTTGCGCAAGGTACTTTCTTATTAAATGGCGACCATACAAAGTAGGTATTTTAAGCCAAGTATGAATGGAGATGAGCGTAGGATGAGTGGCGCGATCTTGTAGTCTTGTTAGTGACATTCCTTGCCTTAGACACAGCTGTTAATTCATAGCCCATGTCAACTAAGGGACCTACAGTATTGTGGAATCCGAACCACATTTTTGCCTTGGTATATTACGAATTGGTCTACTTATCTGGATAGTACTGCGGATAGTCGTAGTACTCACTCGTGCGGACGTTAATCCACACCAGGGAGTATCGCATCCACAGTGCATGCCTATAAATATCCACAATTCGTGACCTCCTAGTAGCTGGATTACAGGACGACGCTACCCGTACCAGTCATGACGATCATTTTAAGTATATGATTTATGGGGTGTGACTTTTAGTTTTCTCAAAAGTTCATGGGTACTTTGGGATTTATACATGGATGCCAAAACTAAATATCGCAGCTGGATTATTTCTTTATTATGTGGCTTAAATAATACAACGTGTTTGTTGTTTAGCGCGACACCAAACCCAACACCAAATTTAGTCAAACACCAAGAAGTGTCAAATCACAAACCTAATATGAGCGAGTTGGACATACATATCATGTCTATTTACACTGGTTATCTGGTTACGTGGCTTGGGTTGGCGTAAAAACTTAAGAAAGAACTAGAACACTAGATAAATAATTGTGTTTGAATGTGTTGATAAGTGATAAGTTTTTAACGAATGAAATTTATGAAATAATTAATAACATTGTATTAATTTTTTTAAAGTTTTTGAAAATGTATACGTAATTATTAATTAGCCACACATTAATTATTGAGTTAAATACAGTATATCGTTAACTTAAAAAAAAACTAGATTTTATTTGTTGAGCAGTGTTCAATGGTATTGTGTCGAAATTTCTGTATCATCACTGGAATTCTTAGGTTTTATTTAGCAAGAGTTGTTTAAAGTCCGTATTTTACCAAGGTTCCGACTTTTTAGAGCACAACACCAGAACTAGGATCTCAGAAATAATTTTTTTCCTGTTCAACTATTTTCAGTCCAATCACAATATAAACCTACTAAAAAAAATCACTAATATTTTATTTATTTTTATTTTTATACGTGTTGACACCAATGGTTGGTTCTTCATGAAGATATACTGTAAATTCCTAATCAATCAAGTAATATTCAATAGTGACTCTGTGAACATAGACTAAGACCTTTTTGGTCTCAACGAACTTTAAAAAAATTAATATCCGAAGCCGAAGACATCAGTTGAAAATTAAACATCCTAGTATATTTTTACAAAATGACTCATTCTCCAAGAAGGAGAAAGTAAAGTAAGAGGCGGCTTGTCGGCTGTGGCGCAGTTTCCTGGAGGTTGTTGAGGGACAGTGGAATCTCCCCATGAGAGAGGTCAGTTCCCCGGACTGAGTCATCGGAATCTGCCCCTCTGGCAACTGTCAATCCGCCCTTTGGTACGCGCCGCTCTCCGGACTTTCCGGGTGCGGACAAGTGGAGCTCAGAGGCTCGTGTGTTAATTGACTGATCATTCATTCATTCGAGCCAGCTACGCACACTCACACACGGCTGATCAGATGAATAGTTGAGAGAATGAAATCCTTTGAGTAGCGTTGTTACTGAGTACAGTATAAGCGTTGGATACGTACACCATCTTTATGTACGTGAAGGCGATTCCTACCAAACACTACTCCTCCAATAATAATGGACGGATTTTTACAAGCGATTTGTCAAAATTTAGTATTTTTTGTGTATACGCCCCCTTTCACCAATTGCTGTAATAAAGTCTTCGGGCTTTACCCCTCAGGTCATCAAAATCCCAACGGTAGTTCTTGTGAGGATTTTGTTTAGACGAATAATTTGTATTAATTACAGCTGTTCATAGTAAACACACATGATACACACAAGAGCATTCGTTTTCAGAGTGAGTTCGTTTTCAGTTTCGATAACTATAGTGGAGTGCGCGTTCGTTTTCAGTTCATTGGAATAGTTTCGATAACTGGAGTGGGGTGATTGATTACATTATCTTTGAGTTGACTATAAGTCATTGGAAATTGTGACTGTTATTTGTTTTGAAATATAACGCCTGTAATTCTTTGCAATTGCTCTAATTCGAGCAACAGGTGCACTAGTCTATATATTTTACTAGTTGAATGGGCCTAGTTTAATGTGATGCTATTGTAGTCATATTTCTCATTTTAGTTTTTCATGCGATTATAGATGAAAACTGGGAACATAAACGATTATCAATCAATCATTGAGATGGGGACGCCAATTGCGTACTTTACTGTTCTTACTTTACTGTCTGTACTTTACAGGTCAGTTGCTTTACTGACCAAAATCAGCTGTTTCGTTAAGGATCATCTATACGCTAAGAAGAATCTGAACTTTTGAGAAAAAATAAGCCGCACACCTATCAACCACATACTTGAATGAAAGGTCTTGATGAGAAACTTACTCCAAAAATCAGTCCTTTGACTAACCCTCTCGTAAGAGTAGGAACATCAATTAAAGAGCTGTATTAGTCAAAATTAAAATGTTAAAGACAGCTGTTTGACTTGATTTTTTTGTTTACTTTTTCTAGAGTTAATAAACTTTTGATTACGTTTTTCCTTTAATGTTGGATGTTCAAACCTTTGAAAAATGTTTAACGTCAACTTGAACTTGATTATGATTGGGACTAAAGTTTAATTTTAGCATAAAAAATCATAAGGTTTGTTTCTAGGTTGGTCGGCAGATT